GGCAAGCAGTTTGCTTGAGGTTAAGAGCTGTTTAAAACAAACAGAAGACTCAGTGAAATTTCTTTTGATAAGAAAGGGCAAAATTCTTAAACCTCATCAGGATCCTGCTGTAGGCTCTGTGTTGATATGACAGTAGCTGACAGGTCTCTGAGGCTGAAAGTGTGATGCTCCAGCGCCGACACGTTGAATAATTCAGCAGGGAGTGTGAAACAAGGACGCGCAGATAGAAGCTACTGTTCCGCTGTAAGGCACAAAGAGTATTCTGATTGTTGTGTAAAAGTGTTAGATATTGGAGACAGCGCCAAATCCAGGGAGAACAAGCGCTTGGTTATGATCAGATATAGCGCACACCCTGTTGGATAACACTGTTATCTCCCAGGTTTCTGTTGATTGTTGGAAAGGATGCATGACGTGTCCATGTTACCAGATTGTCCTACAGGCAGGGTCATATCCAGAGCCTCTCGGCTGCCATGATGATTTGTGAGGGAGCTGCTTAGCGAGTGGAGTTAATGGTTATGCTCTGCGTCTGGTCAGCCGTACAGAGGAGCCCTGCTGGCCCTGTGACAGGCAGACTGACCCTGGGGGCCTGTGTCTGTGCAGGTGCAGTACCTGGTGAGCCGCTGCACCTGTCCCTCACAGTTCTCCATGCTGAAGGTCTCGGAGGGCAAGTACAAAGTGGGAGACTCAGGCACGCTCATCTTTGTGCGGGTAGGTCCCTTCTGTCTCCGTCATTCATTTTCCAAAGCTGCAGTTCTCCGGTTTTCAAAGGATACTTCCTTGGCCCATGGTAAATGCTGAATATCCTCTTTCATGCGTGACCAGTGTATCGCACTCTGCAAGATGCACACAGCTAAGCTGTCGCCCACAGATACAGATGTGTTTGAGTTGGCTCAGTTATGTACTTGGTATTGTGTCAGTGTATCAAGGCTGACTACTCATTTTATGGTGATATTGTGAGTCACTATATGCCTGGATGTGCCCATAACTCCTTCATTAAATGTTTTGGAAGACTAAGGAAAAGACTACCCGGTAGCTTGTTTTTTAAAAAGTTGATATTATATCGTGTTTCTGTCTGAGGAAGTGACCTTTGGATGAGTAAACATGTATGATGATTCCAAATTATTCTTTTGTTCTGTTATTCTTAAGTCAGACCAATTGTTAGGAAGTTTATTTACTTTATTTATTTACCTAGTTGATTCACTGTGCAGTGCCTCTAAAGAACAAGCCTCACGAGATTTCAGCGCAGCTGAGCCTTGAGCTAAAATACTTTTTTTCAGATAACATTATATTTCCCAAGGCAGCACAGTGGTCAACATTCCTGCCTCACAGTGCTGGGGCCCTGGGTCCAGTTCCTGGGGTGCTGTCTGTGAGGACTTTGAAAGTTCTTGCAGTGTTTGCATAGCTTTCTTCCTGGTGCTCCGGTTTCCTCCCAAATTCCAAAAACATACTGGTAGGTTCATTGGCTCCTAGAAAGTAGGACTAAAGAAGATTCTTTAATTCATCCATCAATGCTCAGGAACAGGAGAGTTGTAACTCCCTGTCCTGGTTTCTAGGGTAGAACTGTTAAAATTGAGTTTGCATCCCGGTTGGTGCTGTTGTGTCTCTGCCCTTGCAGATCCTGAGGAATCATGTGATGGTGCGAGTGGGAGGGGGCTGGGACACTCTGGAGCACTACCTGGACAAACACGACCCCTGTCGCTGCACCTCTCTGAGTGAGTTGCTCTGCACCCCATTGCTCTCTGCAGCGGACAGGGCACCCTCCCCACTGACCCCATCTAACAGCATCCTCATGAGCATGTTTTAATAAAAAATATAGTGAGCAGGATAAGTTGGAGGCAATTCGGTCGAGAGCTTCTAATCTCATGTAGTGCAGGTGTTAGGGTCACACTAGTTCTTTAAACTTGTAATTGAATTAATTGCATACTAATCTGGAAAGCTGCTGAGCTCAAAATCCTTCAATGGCGAGAAATAGGAGTTGCTGCTCTTGGACTGACACTGATAAAGATGGGATTGGCTAGCTTCATTTTCAAGCAGTTTTTTTTTATTTCACTGATCTAGAGGAAGTTTTAAAGACCTCTCCTTCCACTGTCAGACAGTGCTGACTTGCACTGCTGATAGTCAAGTACAGCTCCTGTTTGTCTGTTAGCATGTACCTGGTTTAACCAGCAGCCTCAAAGCCTGTTGGTGCTGACAGAGAAATCTCGCAGCTCCCAAAATGACAATGGTTCCATATTCCATCAGTCCTTGCTGAGACTTGTTTCTTTTCAAAATCTAATGATGGCATTCATCAGCATCAGGAAGTGATAAGGTCTAATATTGTTACCAAATTGGAATCAGTTTGGTTTTTCTTTGTATGTTGCTGGCACCAGTCTGCACTGACCCACATTCATGTGCTTAATATCACCTTCCAGGATGGTTGTAATCATATATTGACTGAGCTCCTATTATAAGAGACCCTGCTCTTACCTGTGATGTATCAGAACGTATCTTTAATACAGCCAGCATGTCAGTTCGGTGTTAAAATGTCAAATAGATTGTATATTTTTCATGGTCCCAACCTGATGTGAAATGTATAGAAACTGACATGTTCTGCGAAGACCTGGACTGACTTGTAGTTCCTCAGGTTTAACACTGGAGGGCCTCCAGTCCTGATATTGGAGAGTGTCTCGCAATACAGACCTTTCAACTACAATCTTAAGCTTCCATAATAGCAGTATATTTAATTTTTTCCTACTAAAATCATTTGAAGCCATTTTCTGCTGTGGAATCGACACTTGGCATGACAACGAACGAAAAAACTTCTTTAAATATGGCACAAACAAAAGACTGCAACATATGTGCTATGTTCCTCGCATTTAGACACGCTCAGGAATGGACATTCTAGCAAGGAATTCTGTCAGCATCTTCCGGCTATAAAAGAGCACGATAAAGAGCCACAGCGCACCCACAGGAGAAACGGCTGCTCTGGGGGAATATTTTTCTCAGCGTTCTCTCCGTGTCTCCTCTCTTGTCCTTGGCTCTAGCTCACAAGCAGGCAAGGTTGGTCAGTCCCCACAAGCCGGTCGCCCCCACCCACGAGATCAGGGCACGCCCCAGCCCCCAGCAGGACGCCCAGGGCCAGCCTCAGGCCGCGCTGGTGGTGAGCCGGGCGCAGGCCCCGCTGGCCCCTGTGGAGTGGACCCCCTCTGCCCCAGCCAGAGGCCTGAGGCCAGGCCGCCCCCACAGCCCGTGGGCCCGCGCCGCTTCCTCTCCAGAACCCAGCGCCAGGACCGCGAGAGAGCTGCGGCCTCCCACCCCCAGCAGGTGGGCGATCCGCGTGGCAGTCTCGCCATTGCCCCACTCAGATGTGTGTGCTGCCTAGCCAGGGACACCCCAAGACAAGTTATTCCTGACTTTATCTCAGTACACCACCCTCCATCAGGCTGTCAGTAGGAGCAGAAGATGAATGGGTAGGTAAGCAGGTAGATGGGTAGATATGGGGTCAGTAGACAGGTAGTGGGGCAGCAGGTGTACTGACAGGTGTGGAGGTGTGTGGGCAGGTGGTGGGCTGGCAGGCAGATGGGTGGGTTTATCATTAGGTATTATGAGGGTGCACAGGTGTTTAGATAGGTGAGTTGGCAAGGAAGTGTACCAACACTTGCAGAATTAAGTAGGTTGACAGGTCAGGTGCTTCTAAGTATAGCTGATTCTATGGATCAGTGTACAGAAGAGTCACTGGGGACAGCGAAGAGCTCCGATTGCCTTCACCCCAGTACAGCTCATTCCTCAGACAGGGAGGGGACACATCTTTGCATCTCTCCCTCACTTGTGCTTCACACACAGTGGGCCTGTGCACCTCAGGGGCACATGAAGAACAAATATGCACAAAAAAATAAGAGGCATTGACCTTGCTTCACACAGGAGAGATCATTTTGTAGATTAGGGCTGCTGAGGTTTCAGTGTTTAATTAAGTTGCAGCAACCAGCTAATTGCATTCATCTTCTTGTGAATGAAATTCCTTTTCAGTCTGCAGGGAAATGGCAAACCCACAGGGATGCTGCGCTTTTGCACTGTCTACATTAGCAGCTCATTTGTGCTTGAACTGAAAGCCACTTTGATCGTGCTGCTTGTTCAAACCTCAGGTCCCTGAAGTCTGTGGCTTGTGTGTGGGATGGCATATCAGGACATCTGTTGCAATTTTAGTGTGTGTGTGTGTGTTATGTGACTGCATAGGTGATTCCTGGGCTTTGTTTCAGACTCAGGGGGAGATCTGCTACCCCTACCCACAGACAGGCCTCTGGAGAAGAAAGGGAGAGCTCACCTCAGACAGCGTCCTCCAGGACAGGAAGAGAAGAGACACGGACAGTCCCCTCCCCTCGCCTCGCCAGCAGCCTCCCTCGTCCTGCCCAGCCGACGCCAGTCTTGACCCCAGACCTCCAGCGCCCAAAAACGCCACTGGTCTTCCAGAGGGCCCAGAGCCAGCTCACCTTGCAGCCACAGCAAACTGCAGACATCAGACTGGCTCAGACCTGGTCCAGATCAAGGCTGGTGTCTGCGCTGAAGACAAACGCTGCGTCTCCCTCCAGCAGCACAGAGACAGCAGCTGAACTCCAGAGCAGAGCCCCAGCCATGGCTTGCTCCCAGAGGCAGGCTGGGATGGTAACCGGCAGGCCAGCAACTTCAGTGAGAAGCACCCACCCTGGCCCTAAACCAGAACTTAAAACCACCCAGCAGCCTGAAGCTGAGGTCAGACCATTCCAGAAGACTCCGACTGTTAGCAGATCTATCAGTCCCACCAAGCAGCTGAGCAGTAGAGCCTCAGCTTTGGCTGCCCAGGTCCACACCAGACCCATGACTCCCATTGGCAGCTTCCAGAGAGGAAGTCAAGTAGATAGGACAGGCAGGAAAACCCCTAACCCGGACGCCAGCCTGAATGGAGAGAGCAGGCGGGCCAGCAAGCTAGGCGTGAGTGTTCCCAGACAGAACGCATTAAGGACATCGCCAGTCCCTAGCAGCTCTCTCGACAGCAGCACGATGCGCGTCAGGGTGACAGACGCTAGTGATCTGGAAGAGGCTTTCCTGAACAACAAAAACAGAGAAAGGGAATGCCTCTTCACCCCCCCACCGATCAGCCCTGAGCAAGAGTCCAGACTGTACAAAAGCCTGGAGTATGAGATCTTGTCCAACCTGCGGCTCCTGGGGGTCGAGTCCGATAACAACAGCGACGAGAATGTGGAAATGTCATGTGGTCCGCAGAGCAAGCAGGACCTGCAGGAGACCTCTTCAAGACACTCCACTCCTTCCTTGGCCCGAAAGCCCCCTGCAGACGGAACATCTCACCAAAATGAGGTCAGCTTTGATGTGGTCATAGCGGAGCTTTCCAAGGGCCAAAGGACACTCAATAAGTTGGACGTGGAGAACTGGGTGGCCAAAATCCCCAACAATACCCTAAGCAACACCGCCAGAGACCCACGCACCACGTTCATAGAGAGGGCCATGGAGATGCATGCAGGCCATCTGAACATGTCAAAAGCCAACAGGGCAAGCTCCTGGTCCTCTCTGGGGTCCAGCTTGGAGTGTAAAGAGCAGACAGAGGCTGAGAAGCAGCAGCTACAGGATCCAGAACTGTTTTTGAAGGCCAGCCCTGCGTACTCCTTGGGTTCTGCAGAGATCCCTGCAAAATCCAGAACCCCGTCCTTCAAGCAGAAAAGGTCTCTCAAAAAGCCGGAGAGGGTGCCGTCAATCTTCAAGCTGAAGCTGCGTCCTAAGGTACGCCCTCGAAGAGACAACAGACCAGAGAAGAGGCCCTCGAAGATCCCGACCCCTGTCTCCCACAGACAGGGTCAGACCAGGCAGGTAAACCAGAAGCCCCACAAGTCTTCAGACAAAGTGCCAAGCAGGAACCAGCACAGCTCCCACTGCTCCATGCCCATGCTGTATTCCACTGAAGATAACCTGGGCTATGAGGAGGACACCTGGCCTGCTCCTCCCAGCACCTTGCTTCCAGAGAGCAGCGAGCCTACTGCCGAGACGGCAAGGAACGGAGAAGAGGAGTCCTGGGTGTAACTGCAGCCGCAGGTCCCTCTCACTGCTGTTTGAAACAATCGGCACATTCTGTCCCCTTTCCTTCTGTCTGGGAAAGTTTAAATCAAACCCGAGCTAGAAGAGGTTTAGTTCGCCATTTGGTGCAGCTACAGGCATGTGAATCATCGTATGTTTTTGACAATTTAGGCCAACCTGTTTGAAAAATATGGGCATGGGGGGGGGGCATGTCAATCATCTCTGTATTGTTGACACATTTAGATGTGAGCACATCTATAATATAGTTAACTGGCTTCTAGATTAATCTATTGGCCCAAGGGTGAGTGAGTACGTTTGTGTCTGTTTCTGCTCTGCGAAGGACTGGTATCCCCACCCATGGCTTGCTGGGATAGGCTTTTCGCCCCCACAACCCTGAACTGGGAAAAGCAGTTAGAAAATGGATGGATGTTTAAAAAGGGCCGAGAGCAAAGGCAGAAGCTAATCCCATCACAACCCGATCACCTTCTTCTGAATAGTGGGCTCTTATTGCCTTCTCCGGATGCAGGATGCAGATGCAGGCTGGATGCAGAGGAGGGTCTCATGTTTATTTTAACCAATTACTACAAGATTGTGATTACTGTAGTTTCTTTTAATTGATCGATGCTATTTAAATTAACTTAAAGAGTGCATTTGTACTTTTTCTGTTTTCATATAAGGAAGGCTTACTTCTTTTAACCATTACATATACTATATACTGTTGTACATTATGCGATGGTGTAGGGGAAGACGTGGTTATATGTGAATGTGGCTATTTGTGACAGCCCTCTGCACCAAACCTTCACAAAGATCGAGAGACAACTGTATTTAAAAAAAAACATCTGGCAGCTTCTCTGTTTGTTTCTGGTCTGATAAAATTAACAAAAGTTCCCATTCTGTCTTGTAACAGTGACACAGGAAAAGCAATACTGAGGCCATTAAATGCTTGTCTGTAACTCAGTTAAACATTGATTCCGACAGCTCTCAGGCAGTGATTGTCCAGTTTTTAATGGGCAGAAGATTATTCTTCTGATGAGAACAGATTAGGACACTTGCTCTAGACATCCTTAAATTCAGTCCCAGCAGAAAAAAAACAGCCTGCAGTGTCTGAAAACAGTCCACACAGTCCTTCTTTTGAGGAAGTGAAGATGACAGTGTGGCGATACGCATGCATTATGTGCCTAACGCACCATGCTGTCCGTAGAAGGGGCTGTGACATGTCTGGTTGTGTTTTGAGATATGCACAATCCTTTATTATGTAGTTTCAAACAGAAGTCCTGGAGGAGGTATGCCCTGACCTCGCCCACACGTATCATGCCCCTTCTCGACTCTTTTGCGTCCTTCAGTTTCTCCTCCTTTCCTCCACCCCTGAAAACCGAGATAGCTGTGAAACATTCAAACGAATCCTTCCCAACACAATTAATTTAAAAATAAACCAGCACATGCGCAAGTAAATTCAGGGCTGACTGCCTGAACAGGCTAATCACTTAACCTTTGCTTACAAATGAGCTGATACTAGACCTTCATTCACAGTGTGCATTGTAACACCAGATGCAGTCTGCCTGCTTAGAAACATCTTGTGACAAAGGGCCAAGGCTCATTCCTTTGGTCTATTTATAGCCCTAGTGAAGCTGCTGTCTATTAATACATTATGAGCGAAGTGTTTGTTCTGATCCTGATCGTGTCACGTTCTGTGCGCTTTGGTGAAATTGCAATAAGGAAGAAGTGTTTGATGATCTCTTTACATTAAGCATGCCATATGTCAGCAATGAAGCAGCAGAAGAGCTTTGGTTTTATGTCATATTATTGATTTTGAAATATTATTTTAAAATGTGATCATATATATTTTTGTAAGCAAATACCCTGTGATTTTTTTTGATACTATAAATTGACTTTTGTATATTTAGATGAAATGAAGAAAAACATACTTTATCCTATTATATTCTTTAACTTTGTATGATACCTTGTGATTTTTTTTCTATTTGACGTTATTGTTTTGTATGATATTTAAATAAAATGAATATTAATGATACAATTGCTCTTAGACTCTTTAATCCTGTACAGAGTGTGACGCAGATGACCGATAGACAAACTGAGCGATATCTGTTGTTTTGGGGTGGGGGGGGAACATGATTATTTTTTAATACTGCACAGCTTTGCAGCTCAGCCAGGGATCTAGAAAATCCAGGGATCCTGGCAAGGACAAAAAAGATTCCAGGAACAGTTTTAGCTCAATGGCAACAAAACAAAATTGTAGCACATTCTGACCGAGTGTCACAGGAGTAACAGCACGTCCAGGTTAAATCGGCAGCGTACCTGTGTATACTGCCCTTCCAGAGAACACGGCCCATTCACCCACTTCTAGTGCAGCAAAGGTGACATCTTACTGCATCAAAGACTCCCAGAAAAAGGGAAATACCATAAAAACACGAATAAAATGGATTTATTAAAGTAATTCTTGGAAGTCCCTCTCCATCGTACCGTGCTCTCAAAAGTGCATATTGCATTCTTTACAAACAAATTTTGAACTCGGGGCTGGTTATGGAGTTAGGGATGTTTTTTTTTTTTCCAAGGCAGATTTCCTTTTTTGAGATGAAAAGCAGCTGGCTATAGCTTCACGAAATTAATCACACCGTGACAGAACAGCATGCTCCACACCAACCTAATTAAGCAACCACAGGAAAGATGTAATTAACATCTCTTGTATTAGGACTGTTGCATCCAGGCCCAGTGCTTCAGACTCCTGGGGACAACATGAGCCACCCTGAAGACTCACTTCCCCCAACTGACCAAACAGGTTCAGTTCAGGGTTAAGGAAAAATACATCAATTTAATCGGGACAAACACAGGGCATATGAAGACCAGATACAGGACACCCACGGGACTAGAGCTGCCCTCTGGTGGCAGGCTGCGCTACACTGGCCGTGCCTGGAGGACAGCCCTCACCAGCGCACAGCTGACAGCGACACGCAAACAGTTATCAGAAAATAAGAGAGCTGTCCTTGCAGTTTTTACTTTGCGGTCCTCAGGGAAATCGAATCAGGTGTGTCCTCTCCTCTCCATCCAAGATCTGTTCTTGGGCTTGACAGATTACTACTCCACCACAATAATGAGCCCTTCTCATCTTCCCTCCTGCACGTCCACGCGGAGGAGCGGCCCAGGGAACAGGAAGAGAAAGGCGCAGTGGAGACCTCAGCAGGCCGGGGGTCCGGGGGGCCCCGCTCCTCAGGACAGCCCCCGGCGCGGGCGGCCGCGGCGGGCTCACATGAGCGAGCAGCGCTGGCGCCGCAGGGCTCCCTGGAAGCGGATGGCGGCGTGCACGTGCTTGCAGCGGGCGCAGCCCACACGCCGCAGCGCCTCGCCGAACAGCAGCAGGACGTGCCAGTTGTACTTGGCCGAGCACTCCACGTAGCCACACTTCCAGCTCTTGCGCACCAGCGTGGAGACGTTGTGCCGGGGGATGACGCGCCCGCGCTGCAGGTCCCGCTTGTTCCCCACGATCAGGATGGGCGCCTCGGCCGTCCCCACCACCCTGCGGGCACAGAGAGCACGCGCGGCCCTGGTGAGCACCACTCGCGAGCTGGCAGGGCAGAGCCACGGGTGCAAGGCAGGCAGGCCACACCCTGGACAGGACGTCAGGCCATCACGGGGCAGAAACACGCACACCCACACCAGGACCAGGTCTCCCAGAAGCCAATTAACCCACCAGCATGCCGCTGGACAGTGAGAGGAATCTGGAGCCCCCGGAGGAAATCCATGCCAACAGAGAGAGCGGACAGACCAGCTCCGCACAAACAGCACCCAGATCCACAACTGGACCCAGGCTGCCGCAGCGCCGCTGTGCAGTCCTGCAGGAACACTAGTTTTCAAATGCAGTTTTAGATTTGATTTAAACAGTACAAAAGAGTGGTGGTACGATGCTTACATTTTCTAGTCTATTGTTGTGCTGACTGCAAGCTATCAATGCTGCAGTCATTGTTTTTTAAACGGTATCTCTCTGTTCTGCGGATTTTCATATTTCACTTTCATTAACCTGCAGGTCTCTATCAGTATGAAAGATCCCAAAAGCCCTTCACAAATTTAATGCCCCATTCTAACCAACAATACTCTTGGGCACCGATATAATATTGTTTCCATTCCTCTGTGACTGTGAAAGACAAAAATAGCAACACTAATTTAATCTTTGGGCGGAGGGAAAGCAGGCTTTAATAAACCTGCCCAGAACCCACTCTTTCTCTTCTTAGATCCCTTCTTAAGTCCTCACAGCAGGAGTTCCAGCAGAGCATAATAAACTCAGTTACTGTATTGTAGCCCTTTTCATGCAGCTATTCAGCTCATCGTTTTTGGCAGGAGCTCCAGTGACAATCTGCTACTGGGTACACAGTGTCTCTTTCTTCAATCCCTGGGAGAAGCAGACAGCCGACGAAACGTCACTGCCCTTTTCACATGAGCAGCTGGAAGCCCTCGTTAGCATTTGCCACCGTGTCAGAAGACCTCGTCAGGCTTCTCTGCGTTGACGTTTATTTTTTCGGTGAAAATTCTGACGGAAACGTTTGTCAACGACCCGTCTTTCATTTTGGTTAATCAAGACGAAACGCTCATGAAAATAATCCACAATCATTTTCACAAAGACTAAATTGCTTTGCATTTCTGTTTGAGTGAATTAAGATATTTACTTTCTGTCTGGCAGTCAGCAGGCTGGCTGTAATGGGTGGTCGAGCACTTGATTTCACTCACAAGTGCCATTAAGTTTTAAAGAACATATTTTTATTCAAAATGGAAATGCAAATATTAGAAACCTGTAAAATACGTTATCTTAAAGAAGTTGCATTTATTTAAAAACTGAAGAGATCAGACTTAGGAACACAGTGAAGATAAAGTAATGTGGTCTTTCCCTGTTGTGATGTTGAGTCGGCCCTTCACACCGAATGAGCAGTGAATCCATCGTTCTGAAAGTCTGGGGGATTGATGAAGGGGTTCTACAAGCTCACCGTTACCTTGTCTCCAGGATCTGCTGCCGGATGGCCTTGATGTACTCGAAGCTGTCGAAGCAGCAGATGTCGTACACCAGGATGTACACGTGGGCACTGCGGATCCCTCGGCAGCAGGCGTCAGTCCACTCCTGCGCAGGAGAGAGAGGCGAACGGGGTCAGGCAGGGAGACAGCAGCCCCCTGCCCGGGCCGGGCAACTGTCCCCTCCGCCTCTCGCCTCACATGAACAGCAATATCTGTAAAACATGCTGCTGGCTTCAGAGCAGAGTTTGAAGGTATGTTTGAATGCAATGTAGGGCAGAGACACAAACACACACTCACAGTTCCAGGCTGTATCTGAGTCCTTCTCTGTCCATTATTCACTCATTCCCTGTCTAAATACCATGATCTGTAGGTGGGCTCCTTTGTCCTTATTGCTTAGTTCATGGCCTTTCATTTATGATCAATCTTCCTGTCTTTTAGCATTTTAAGCCGACGCAGAGCCTTAATTAAATTCAAAAGCTCTTTGCTGTACAACTGATCTCAATTGTGTCAGCTCCACAACCGTGCACGGGCTTTTCATCGGTGGTGATTAACACGGAGAAGGGGCCACTTCATGCAATCAGTTCATTGCTCATCTCATACTGATGGCCTATTAATCAAAGCTGTTAGCATAATTGACTAACTGTGCCGGACTTTGCTACGCGACAGTGTATTTTATTAATTAACACTAGGCTCTGTGCCACCAGAAACTCATTAGCCAGCCAATAGATCATCGCAACATTCAGAGCAGAACCACAAATGGTCTGAAATCTTGTTTAAGTGGTGCAGTTAAGTAAGAGCTCCAGGTTTCCATGTATCAATGCCTCAATTAAATGTCCAGATAGTTTAGAATAATTGCCAGCAATTGTTTTAGCAATTATTTCACACGTCAGCCAAAATCAGGAATCTGGACTCTCACTTGATTCTCTCTTGTATTTTAAACACCATGTAAAACAATTGATAAAGACTTTTTTCACTTTAGAAATATTGCCCACATTAGGCAATTTCTACAACTGTCTGATGCTGAGTGACTGATTCATGCATTTATAAAATAAAGGCTCGATTTCTGCATCTCTTTTTAATCCTATGGGCTCCCTAACATCCTTCTCAGCAAATTGCAATATGTCCACATTTCTGAACCTCGGACTTCTGACTCACAGCAGAGCTTGACAGCATATCACTCCTTTACAATGTACGCAAGTCTCTACATTGATTGCCTATGAAGTTACATATTCAGTATAAGGTCATGTTACTGCTCTAAACAAACTGGCTCCATCATACAGTCCATCTCTGAACTCCTCCATGTCTACACTCCCTGCTGTAGGCTCCGGTCAGTTGAGGCTGCTCCTCTGCCACCGTACCTGCGACCATGTTTCGGACTTGTGGTGACTGAGCGCCTTCTGTCACGTCTCCATTGTTATGGAATGTCCTTCCCCAGACCGTACGAGAGACCTGTTCTGTGACTCTTCAAACCCAGACTTAACACTTGCTTTTTTGAATATACTGAATACTTGATTAACATGAGAGATTGCAGCACAGCAATCTGTAAGCCATACAAATTCAATGAAACCTTTGGGTAACACAGATGCTTAAACGACATGTTCCATATGTGCTTTTATACAGTGCTACTGGTGCAAAATATTTCATGCATTTCATTAGGCATTAAGTGAATTTCACAGCTTTCATTATGCTGTTTGAGCAGCAACCACAGCCTTTTCAGGCTTTTCAGGATCTTGAAAGCAAAGTGCTGAATAATTATTGAGCTTCACACGTCTCTCTATCCTCACGGATCCTCGATAAGGCAACAAACTTGAAACATCCAGCATCTTATGTTCATCTTATGGAATTCTTCCATCCATTTTCTAACCAGTTTATTCAGTACAGGCTCATGAAGATGTTGGAGCCCATCCCAGCAAGCAATGGGCGCAAGGCAGGATACATCTGGACTGGACACCAGTCCATCACAGGGCACACAGACACACTCACAACAGGGCCAGTTTTCTCAGAAACCAGTGAACCCCCAGCTTGTCTTTGGACTGTGGGAGGAAACAGGAGGGCCCGGAGGAAACCCATGTGAACACAGGGAAAACGCACAAACTCCTGGATCACAAAGGCCGAGAGCGATGCGTGACCGCAGGTGCAGGTGCAGCCTTACCTGCAGCGTGTTGACGGGGAAGCTGGGAATGGCGGGGTAGTCCATGATCTGCAGGTCATGCACGTGCCCGTTGAGAACGGCCGCGGGCAGGTAGACGCGGCGCCCCCTGCTGGGCGCCGGGGCCTCGCTGTAGTCGTTGTAGAGGAAGCGCCGGACGATGGCCGTCTTGCCCACGCCCTGCGCCCCCAGCACGGCGATCTTGAAGGTGGCGGCCATGCCCCCGCCACTCCCCCGGGCGCCCGCGCGTCCCCCGGTCTCCCAAGCCACAGGCCAGTGCATCCGGGTGGGCTGGGTGGGCCGGGCAGCACATAGTCACAGCGGGCCCGGCGGGCGCAGGGGGCGCGGCTCACTCCCATTCATAGGCCACAGCCGCCCAGCCCCGCCCTCCTGGGCTCGCTGGGAAGAGGAAAGGGCGCCGGTCAGAGAGCGCGCCGACACAGGCCCAGGAGCAGGCCCAGAGCTCTCCTGACAGGACAGGACAGGACAGGACAGGACAGAGAGGTCTGCGCCGCCTCCAGCCACAGACTGCTTCAGTTAGAAATTAGGAACTGCTGCATTAGGGACTGAGATACAGAAAGCAGTTCTCTGTAAAAAAGAACTGGGTGTCATATAGCTAACTACCCAGCCATGTTTTTGCTAAAATGACTCACTGGGATTTTTGGACAGCACGACCAGATTCTAAGATTAACATCCAGTAACTAAACAAACAAGATGGACCGAATGGTCTGCTCTTGTCTGCAGACTTTCCAACATTCTCATATTCCCAGATAAGTCATGGCCAGGCTATTAGTTTGCTTAACCACTTATTTGCACTACATCAACAAGAAATGTGCCGTTACAATTTTCAATATGTTCCTTGACAGAACTGTTTGAGCCAGGGCTTGTGAAACCTGAAATGGATCAAGCTGCTCTGCAGTGGGACCAGACAGCCCTCAGGGAGACAGCGAGAAGCAGATACCAGCTAAATGTGTTTCTCCTGGCCATTGTTAGCTAGCCAGGCTTTTCATATGCAGATATTAGAATAGATTAGGAGCGCTCTGTGTGTTAATGAGCAAGCTCCTCAGCGAATGAGCACCGCTGTGGAGAGCGCGAGAGATTTTCTACTTCAGCTCCGACTGCTGTGCATCATGCAAACAGATCTGCAAAATCACAGAGCAGGAGCGTTTGTGTGAAAACCTCGGCACAAAGCAGACACGGCATTTTCGTAATAATAATATAGATCATTAATAGAAAAAGATTGGGAATGTTTTCATGAAAAAAGGTATTATTCATTTTAAACACTGTTTTGAAATAATTATATTAGAATAAAAGCCTGCAGCTTTTCCATTTGTGGGGCATGAATTGTAGCACCTTGTGCTGTTTATTTTATATGTTTTTTTTTTAATTCATCTTTATCAAGGGGGCCAATACTTCTTGATCCCACTGTAGACGTGTAGCAATAGTGGCCTAATAGCCGCCGTCTCGCCTAGCAGTAAAAAAAAAAACAGTCTCACTAATAAATTAGTAGCCACAGGAGGTTGAGAGCAGCACTGGGAAATGTAGCATCAGGTAACATGAATACAGTAGCAGTAGCAGGTGCACAATGTGCTGTATTGGAAGCAGTGCCTATACTGATCGGGGGAGCTGTCCAGAGTGTTAATAATACAGCTCTCGGAGCTTTACTTTTGTTAATTTGCAGCGTGCAGCCGGGGTATCGGTATGCTGTCGACTGCATGATGAAGATGCGGCTCAGAGCCCCGTGTTTCACTGGGGGGGACCCCGAACCGTTTGGGTGATGAAGTCGTGAACAGCCGCCGCAGCGCAAGTCTTAACGGGTACAACATTTGTGAAGGAGAAGCGTTCACGCTTGAATTTTCCCCTTTTTATAACAATAACGATCACAATAATGCACCTAATATCGCCGTCCTTTCCGCTGAAAATGCGGGGAGAAACGGCATCCAGCGGCGTTTCTGGTCCAGCACTTTCAGGTCAAGGTCCTGCCCAGAACTCCAGGAGCCCAGATATCTTCGGATTTCCCAGCCAATTGTAGCGCTGCTTTCTTAAGTATTTCTAACCGTTTTTTGTTTCAAAGTCAGCTAAATGAAATAAAACACTTTAAACAGACTTTGCTTGACATGCGATGCAGTGCATCGCACTTAGCTTTTGTACGCAGGCAAACTTAACGCGATAGGATCTTTACTCGGCTTTGTAGTTGAAACGCATGTACCTGCCTCGAAAGCTGTTTTCATTTATATTATATTATATTTCATAACGTTACTAGAGATTTCGTCAGGCATCTGTTATTCACCGATCTCAAACGCCGCTAAATTAATAACCCCATCTTACTTACTGTTCATTTGAAACGCAAAGCCAGTATTCCGGCTAGAGAGAGAGCGATATTAATTAAGCAATTTTACGCTCGTCACATATTAGAAACACTTCTCTTTGCTCCTTCTTACCTGATAGTGCAGGCGAGGGCGGACCGAGATCACAGTCCTGCAGTGCCCACGGAGGTCTGCTGGTGCACCTGTGCAGCAGGGTGGCGGACAGGGAGACAGACCCTTTGAAGTTTTCAGCTCTCCAGCTCGGCAGCGGTGTCTCCCGGCGAGCTGCGTTCCTCACGCCGGTGCTGCTTTCGCAGGTGTCTGCGGCGAGGGACGCGAGCGTGAAGACATCGTCTTTCTGCTGAGCAGAAACGCTCACACGACTGGGTCAAAACGCCCGCCTGGTACCAGCGCTAAACAAAATCAGTATGCGCGCATCGCCCAGTCTAGAAGGATCATACTAATTATTCAAGGCGGCGCGAAAGAATATTGTCTTCCAAAAATGCCAGGCACGCACTTGAGAAGACTCTCCCGATGCCCGAGGTTTAGACAACAGGCTATTCCGCTACCACAGCGTCTTTTATCTTTGTCACATTCTGATGCAATCCCCGCTCCCCGTTGAAGGTATTAGTAACTGAACTGCTTGTTGTAATCGTGGGTTATCAATTTACTGGCGAGCCGTGTTGCAATGTGCAATGCAAGCGCACTACAAAAGAAAGACCGTTCACTCACGGTGGGAGATAACGAGGAGGATTTGGGTCTATTTATCGGGTTTCTTCACTAGAGGGGACAACTGAAGGGATCAGAAATCTAGGGGCCGCGCTGCCTGTGAAGGCGGGAGATGCGCATTCCTGTAATAACATCGCTGTTGCAATGCCTGCATACAGCCGCCTCGTTAATTCACACCCAGGACGTCTGGTCCCGCCGGCGGGACAGCACAGGTCCCCGTGCACCTTGTGCAACAGTGGCTCGTGACAGTGGTGCCGTGGTCACTCTTACTACTAGTACCTCTTACTGACATTAAAACTAGTGACTCAGTGCTGAAAAGCCCACAGGACTTAAGCATAAACAACACGTACTTGTACCTGTGCACCAGTAAGGCTACAGCACAAAACAATCTGCCTCAGAAGGAATGTTTCTCACAGAATCTTCTTGCAAAAAGAGGTGTGATATTACTGCCTTGACTTTGTCATACAACTAAGACAGGCAACAGAAAACCGCATGCCCTCAACCCTTTACTGAAAATTATTCCAAAACCCGAATTGCTCCTGCTGTGCAAACTGGAAATTGACATGTGAGCCAGGCCATTCTGTTACAGCGAGCTTCAGAGTCAAATAGCTAGATATTTCACACCCTGACAAAAGGCAGGCAATGCCCATCTTTGTGCTGCCTTCGGGGGATGAGATAAGATTTTGGGAAAGAAAAACAGTCTCCTCCAGAGTGCATCTTCCATCTTGAGAGAGCAAATGAATCCTGCAGAATGCAACACAGCGCTTGTCTTTAATAGCCATAGAAGCACAGCACACACCACTGCCAAGGGGCAGGACCGCAGCTGTAACTTAGCAACCTTGCATCCGTATTCCTTTGTTGCCTAGCGACCACGTGCTATTGTCCACACTTGACTCCAAAGTCTCATCACATTAACGGTCCTTTAACTTTGCCATCAACATGCACAAACAGGGTCCAAAAAAAGGGATCAGATGAGCCTCCACAACAATTTAAAAGCCCATCCTACACCATCTGAGAAGGAGCAGGTGGAAGACTTCCAGAATCAAATGTTCACTCCAGCACCATTGTTGCATGTCTTGGGTCTAACACAAACACCACAGTGTGCATAACCTGCCCATCAGAGACTCTCCACAGAAGCAGCCCTTTGACATCATGTGAAACCTGTATGCAAATACTGATGACGTTTCTTTGTAAGAGAAGACAGAGCTTCATTCAGGTGATGTCTGCCTGAGGAGGCACCAAGTGCCACGCCTTAATCCAGGGAAAAGCGAAATGCTAACCACTGCTCCACCGTGCTGCCCTGTAGCAATACATGTTTAGTATCTTCACAAGCGACCAGCTTACACCTGACATCACAATGAGTAAGCTGCAAATAGTCACGAGTCACCTGGGGGCTGAAGAGCATGGTAGTGGCAATTATAAGCAGAAGCAAAGGTTAATGTTAGCACTATGGCCCAATTGCACTTTGACAGACGAGCAGATGGGAACATTATCATCCTCCATGCAAACACCTCTCCCTCTCTGTTCTCCCCTCTGTAGTCTACTCACTACGCCTGTTGACTTTCCAGTGAGGACAAGGACTGCGCCTGCTGCCAGAGTCTGCACGTCAGTGCCACAGTCATGCTTTGATTTCAGGGTTGGCTGTGAGGAGCAACTATAAATAAAAGCAACAATTGTTCCTCTTATTACAGAGGTAGAAAATACAGATTTTCACCCCCGTTTTCGGTAAGCGCTTTATCTTTTTGGGATGGTGGTTAAGGGGAGCCCAACCTGGTAGGCACAGGGCAGGGACTACACCCTGGACTGGACGTTAGGATGTCACAGGACACACACACACACGCACACTCAGGCACCTAAGCTATTACGCTAATTACCCTGGACACCATGTCTTTAGACAGTGGGAGGAAACTGGAGCACCCGAGCAAAGTTTTACGCAATACGCCAAAAAAACAAAACAGGATACTTCTCAATCTTATGAGATTTCTTGGATTCACAAATCAGACCAGACCGCCTGCTGTTCCACATGACTAAGTAGGAGCCTGTAATAAATGGAATCTGCAGCACCAATCACACTATAATTAAGGAATATTTGGTAATGATGTCACAACAGGAGGATGTTTTTCTCAGGGAAAAGGCTGTGTTAATGTAGCCCTATCCTAGAACATAAACACCCATCTGTGAGCAGAGCTATGTGGACACCCTCTGACTGGGAACACCAGCCACCTTCAGGGGCCATGGTGGGTCAGATCTACTGGAGTGCAAAAATATCACACCACACAAGAACACCACATTTCTCCACCTCCCGATGTCCAGATCAGTTTGTCCACTGTGGGATTATAAAGGAGACTTACTACTTTCCAATCTTTAAAACAAAGAGAATTTTTGCAAGGAAAGAACAGGGTGTCCAGCTCATCGAGCTTGGTAATAACCGACTGACCATCCCGTCATTTCTTGAAAGAAGTCATTGGCTTCAACCAAAACTTTCTGGGTAGAGATGTACCTCCTGGTCTTTGTATCATACCACAGACAAAAGTCTAGAACAGAACACTCATTTTTAAAGTTAATTGTTTCAAGACAACATTTAAAGGATGAACTGAAGAATAAGATCTTATCGTGTGCATGTAGTTTAACTGTAAAATTAAAGCTTCTTTAATCAATTTGGCCACAGTGGGAAAGATGCATCTGCTCATCATGTGGAAAAATCAAGGCGGAAAGGAGACGACTTGCATTTCCTGCAATATATAAATTTGCAAGTCCTGAATCTCAACGGTAGCTTTAAAAAGATGTAGAACATGTTACACTGGCGCACACTTTTGTTCTGAATTGGTGCAAAGGATAAAATGAACAAGTTAGCAGAACTCCTTTGGAGTAAAAGGCTGTGTTTTACTAAAGTATTTTGTCCATGATCAAAAAAATACAGAGGTGAGGATTTCATCTGGGAGATTGCATATGCTGTGAGAGGCAATCCTTTGCTTGGAACAGCTCTGATGGAAAGTCCAGATCTCACCCTATTGGCTATGTAGGCCAAAGCGATAACTGCTACTCTCAAGTGTTAGAGAAGGCAATGTGTCACAAGGAAGATACTCCCTTCCTATAGCACTCCTTTCAGACCTTACCTGCCATCTGGCCAGCAGGTACAGGTAGGCTGGACAGAACCCATCCTGGTAGTTCAACTGGTGCTTGCAAGGGATCTGAGATGTGAGAACCAGGAAAAGACTTCACTCAGTCCGGGGTCCAGGTGTCTGAGGTTCGAGCCTGGGTTGTGTCATTAGCCAGCTGTTACCTAAACAGGCAAGGTTGGGATTAGTCGAACATGCTTTCACATTGAAGAAAGATATGAGACGTGAAAAAAAGGGTTAACCGATTTCTTTCTACACAAAGACTTCTTTTGGTACAAAACATTCCATGATTGAGCACTTTTGAGTTATGGTAGGGATGGGGAGTTAACTGATAAGAGATTCCCTAACTATGGAAAGATGAGACCAGCCATTCAAAGTCTTCAAGGTCTTGAGAATGTCCAAACACAGGCGACCTCCCCCCAGTACCATGGTAACAATTTGCGTCAGAAATGGCTGAAGTTTGTTATATAAACTGGAGCTCTGCACCTATAAACTTCAAACAATTCTGAATGTACTGTTCCTTGCATGCAATAAAACTCACTTGATCAGCTCATCTCGGGGTCCAGAACTTATTTGTTCCAACAACGACAAAGTTGTGAAGCTCCTGACCTGCCTGACATCAAGAGGCTCGTCCAATCAGTGCCTCCCTGCTTTGTCACATGATGAGGGACAGGTGGGCGTGTCAGTGGAGCATTGCTGCTGGTGCTCATCTCCTTGCACGGTGTCATAGCTGCAGAACTGATTCTTAGAAAACCAAAGTGACTGGGTATAAATATAAACAATACAATCTCTCATATGTAATCACTCAATCAGGAAGTCAAACGACTCTTCATCTCACGTACAGCCATTAAAGTCAAAGTTCTCAACACAGCCGCTCTGAAAAAACACACAGGCACAGGCAGTTTCCTATAGACAGGACAGTTTATTGAAAATGGCGATATAGTTACACATTGGTCATGGTTATAAAACAACGTCAAAAAAGGTATAGGCAGCAGGTATAAGACAAGATGAGAATGAGGCAAACCAGGAGATCAAGTAACACGCAAGAGCAGATGGGAAGAGATCAGAGCCTCTGTCATGTCTGTGTGTGACTTCAAGGTAATGCATCTGTTCACAGCTCACCCATGACCTCTGTCAGGTTCCACACCACAGTACAACACTGGCCGGAGAACCCCATCTGGACAGAAACAGTGTCCATACTCGGTGTCTTCAGTACTCTGCAACCACCCAGGCAGGGCAGCTGTGAGCCAGGATGAATACTTAAATGAGTTTAAGAAGAACTGACCTAAAGCAAGACTGACCAGATTTATTAGCTTTAAAATATTCTAAAAATCTAAAATCATAAAAAGGCATGTTTCCTTATGTTGGTAATCTGATCCCGAACACGGTGCACTAAACTGTTTTGAATATCTGCTGGACGTAATGAAATTACATCCTGGGTTTTTGTCATGCCCAGCAGAGTCAAAACATTTTTGATTCCAACCTGGGAAAGAAAGGAAGATAAAACCAGAACTCTCTCTTTTGTGATGGGCTGTACACTTGAATACAGAAGTTAGGAATTCTATAAACGCAAAGCTCCGAACTGTTTAAAAGGGTTCACGGGGGAACGACCTTGTGTTGAGGGTCAGCCTGATCCTTTCCCAGCCAGCTGCGTTAGTTGAACCCCTGGACTTATAGCACGGAAATAAAAGTTTTAACAAAAATCTAAGCTAGGCTCACAGGAGCATGTTCACATGCAGGCTTACAGGCACATAGATAACAATGGCAGAAAGACAGGAAGAGTTAGGTCACACGTTACAATCTGTACCTTATGTGTTCATTTTTTATTACGCTTAAGTCTGACATCTGTATACTTCACTACGTCCATCAAGCAAATTTTTTTCATTATTTTCATAAGTGTATTTTTAAATTATATAGATCACGTTCACGTTGGAGGACTTGGTACAAGGCCACTGAAATCTCATGCTACTTTGAAGCCCAGATCTAGAATAACAAACACTACTGGTGAACATATGCACACAACCTGCCCACAGACCCTTTGGGGACCTTTCTCTGAAGTGCTCCCGACTCAGCAAAGAGACCCAAGTTGCTTAACACATCTGTTTCAATACCCTGGACCTTGATCTACAACATTTCCTTATGCTTTAAGCACAGAAAACAACACGCCATTGAATTGCATTCTGGATATCTACCATTGAATGGACAAAGTATGATACTGCTGAAGAAAAAGGGTGAACGCAGAAGGAAGCATAAAACCAGCACTTGACACTTGGCAACTCGCTAGAGTACAATCGAACAGTAATATGTTGGCAGGATACTGAATATTTCCACTCAAAACATCATTGGTGCGTTTGACAGCAAGGCCAGGAAGGACAACGCCTCTGGCGTTCTGTTTGGACAAGTCCTTAGTGATGATGAAAGACTTGATTTAACTATGGCAAGACTCTGAGCCAAAGTTTTACATTTGCAATTGCAACTGAGAAAACTGAGAGGGGGAACCCAGCAGACGGAGAGAGAACCAGATAAACTCTTTCCTGCTATTAACACGAGACAGTGAGCCAAGATCCACTCATCCCTGGAGAAGCTGTATTTGGATCCCACTCGGATCAGAGCCGGAACGAATCTGGAGATTTTCACCTAATCACACCCCACCACCCCAAACGAAGCCAGGATCACAAAAGAAACAGCGCCAATCGGGACCTTTTCCAGGAATTAATTCTTGAAACAAACAACGGGAGAGGAAATGGAGGCAGATGAGAACGGAGATGAGACTGTCCTCTCAGCTTTCAGCTGTATGGGCAATAGGCACATGACCGCACAGCAGGTAGGCAGAGGACTCTAGTATTCAATGCCGTTTTCTGTTAATTAAATGTGTGACCAGCTCTCTTACGAGCGCTTGCTTTATGCAACCTGTTGTAAAACTGGCAACCAGATATTATTTGCAAAAGATTTACAGTACTGGAATGCTACACTGGCAGTAGAGTATACGCCTAGCAATACACAATGAAGTTCAAGCTGAGCTAATAGTGCTACTTCCTCACCGGCCTCGTTGAGGGGCCAGGACTGTGATCAAAGGGGCGAGAACTTCAGCACCAGAATCACCGAATGCTCCACATCTACCCCTGACACGACAGAGCTGGGAGGGAAGCTGGCACAGTCGCCTGAATGCTACTGCAGAGGCAATATGAGGAAGGATGGGAAGGACAAGCGAATGGCAGCAGGCCAGGAGCAGGGCAATGGATCTGTATGTACAAGCCAGTGGAAATTATTAAGAAAAGGAAAAAATAAAATCCCCCAAAAAGACACATAGAATAAAAGATGACACATACCTGCATAATCACAAAACAGCTACTTTAAACAGTGGTATACACAGTGGTTAAGAACACTAGTAAGAATAAGAGAGTGGTTCATATCACCCCTGTCTTTCTGCGGTTTCACTCCTGACTCGCAACAAAATGCACTCATTTGCATCTGCTAATTCCCCACTAAGCACATAAGAGCCACTGGCACCTCAGAGCCCAGACCAGCGCAGCTCTTCCCTTTCAATGTCTCTGGGTGTGCGCTGGGGGGCTAATATTTACCGATTACCTGAATTATTGTAAGTGTCAGAGCGAAACCTGGCAAAACAGAAAGACAGAAGAAAAGAAAAAATGGACGGCTGAATGGAGGATATCAACTACTCCTGCATGGGCAACGCTCTTCCAATCACAGTTCACAGCGCACGTCTGCTTTTGTGTGCGTCTGTTCTGAACTTTCAGTGCCTTGTGATGAAGGAAACAGAAGTAGAACATATAAAAAAAAAGATGAGAGAAACGAGTTTGTTCACGGTCTCCACACCCCCCTCCTTCGGCAGGTGGGCTCTGGCAGGCTCTAGTTCTTCAGGACGGAGTCGTACACCTGGTAGACGTACTGGGAGACCTCAGGAGCGCGGCACTTCAGGGACAGCTGGGACACAGAGAGACAGGAGCGTGAGCACCAGCGGCACCGACCTGTCAACGCGGAGGAAACGCGCACTGCGAAACAGCAGCCTGGCCTGCGGCGGGGGGGCCGCACACGCAGCCACAAAACACACTGCAAACACAAGACTCTCAGGCTCGGAGGTCAGAGGTCAGAGGTCAGAGGTCAGACGGCACAGAGCAAAACCCCGCGGTTAGCAGCCGCCTCATGTCAGTTCATCTCTTTTGCTCTGTAACTTATTGCAGGCGGCGGGCTTTCCAGTCACCCTTGACTGAGAACAGCAGGAATCACGGCAAAAAAACCAACACAAAAAAAGGTACAGCATGAGTTACTGGTTCCACAACTGTATGAGCATGAAAGCAGCTGCCGTAATTTCCACAGGTAAACAGGGACAAGCTACGGGGCTGATGGGGACACAGAATAAAAATCTGCAGGTAGAAGAGCAATAATTATTCAGTGAAAACTAAACTTCAGGTTTCCCCCCGTGTTCTCCTCTAAGGCTCTAAAGGTCTCAGCACAATAAGTGCAGAATTCTGCTTCCTATTAAAAATCAATTAGGGTTTAACTGACAGGAGCACCAGTCAGGACAGGCATGATTACCACTGGAGGACTCAAGGTAATGAGGCACCAAAGCAATTAAAAAGCAGATGCACATTAAATAATTTGGAAGGGGAGGTCTCAATCAGCAGATTTGCATATTCAGACAATTACAGCTTCAGAAGTTGAGGTTTATTAGTAAACTCCAGTAAAACGCTTCTCATTGTTGTACTGCTTAAGCTTAGAATGTCTCTTTCAGAGCTGTGCACTCAAGAGATGCATTCAAGGAAAGGAATACAGCAGAATTTAATTTAAAAATTTTCAGTTCTGGGATGTGGGGACATACAGTAGTGCTTGGCAGTATTGATAGGTCAACCTAGAGAGTAAAAACATGCTTAGGTACTAGAGACAAAATTCGCAATTGATCTTCGAGTGGGATATGGATCATTCATTTCAGTGATCTGAAATACATGCGATACGCCAGGGCATTTTCAGTGGAGGGCACTACAGATGTTTTCAGCACATTGTGCAATCATCACTCGCTGTACCAAAATGGGGGAGGCTGATCATCTTCCACAGGATGTTTAACAATGAAGCCAGTTTAACAATACTACAAACCATTTTAGTGTAGAAAAATCCTTAACTTTCACAAGGCACAAACGCAGGGAGAGCTGTCAAGAGACATTTTGAGAAAAGCAAATGAAATGCGTTTGTACAGCTGCCTACTGCTGTGGTAGCAGACAGGACAGCAGCCTGTCGAAAGTGATTATTATGTAACCGAGGGGCCAGAATTGGCTGGGATAAAGCGTACTGGAGGCGCTGAAAATAAAAAAAATCATGTTTCTAGGGACAATTACTTAAAACCACTGGATCAGAATAAAAGGATGGCTTGGGTAATTCACTTTGCTCCAGAATGCCATGCATTCCATTTTCACATTACCTTCTGCTGAGGTCAACCAAGAATTATACAGCTGTGAGGAGGCCTTAAAACAGTCCTATCCCCCCAAAAAAGTATCCTAATGCTGAAGGAAATGTAGGGTGATGATTCTTCTCTCACAAATCAGTTCGAACTATTTTTAGGACCTCTTCCACAGCAGTTTTTGGAACACCTCGCTTGTAGACTGTGTCCCATTCTGAAGCTTCTCTTGTCGCTCAGCCCTTCCTGCTTCCCCACAGGAGACCGCGACCTGAACTCTCGGAGTCCGCCCATTTACCAAAGCAACAAGAGGAGCTGCTGCTGTGGAGGCGCGAACGTGATTAATGGCACTGCCTGCCTGCTGCCGAAAAGCAAGAAAAGGATTTGGCACTTGAAAACAACAAAAAAAAAAATCCATTCGTTTTTCTCGAATTTTTTTCTTATTGATCCCATAGCGATCTTAATATCCTGTCATCATATAAGAGCAAAACATGGCATAGGTTTCTTAAAGTCCAATATCAGGCATTCTCCCTTATAAAGTACATTTCATTAACTCTTTGCATCAGAACCTTTTGACAGAAAACTGCAGACAAGCCCCTAGTTTAAAGAAATAACCTGTTTCAGGTTGGCTGTGATTTTACTGAGTTACATTTCACTGCCGACCAGTCAGGCATTAAATGCAATTTTCCGGTCTTCTGAGCCAGTGGGTAAGTAAGTGACTTTTAGACCTCATCTAAAGACAGACTGGCCTCTCATTATGTCAGAATTACCCTTCTGAAAGCAAGATTTGTCAATGGCACGTAGGGTCTAAGATAGCAAATGGGAAAGTGGGATATAAATAATATTTAACTTCGTCTCAGGAGGCTGTAAGATCTTTGGCTAGCTGGGAGGATGGCCTTTCATGTGGCAGGACTGAAACAATCCATTTGCTTTGGGCTAAACCTGTTTCAAGGCCTTGAATTCTGCGCTATTGTGGGGAAACAGTGATCCCAGCAGATGTGTGCGGGACAAGAAGGGAGGGCGGGGGGGCATCAGAACTTACTGTGTAATTGGGGTTCCCAGGCTGGATGCGGAGCTCTGCCAGGATCCAGATCCCATTGGTGAGCTTCAGAGACTGGTAGAGCATGTCCTGCCCTTCCACATTCCTCTTGGCAATGGTGTAAATATTGTTATTCTGCAGCTTTCCAGAGACGGCGTCTGCAAGAAGAGATCGTTACAGTTGAATACATACCTTTGGGCCAGAGCACACGGACTTCTGCTGCATCACTGCTGGTAACAGGGCTGAAGTTGCATAGATGAATAATACCTTCTTGAGCCCCGACTTTCTGAGCCCTGGGACTGTGGCTCTTCTCCCCAAAGAGACTCATTTTGGATTGAATTTTTGCAGAAAAAAGCAGAGTAATTTAACCATCCTGATAATACTTTATAGACAAACGGAGCAGGGACATTTCTGTACAGGTGTGTGCAGGCACACAATCTACTGGTGAGGCTTCAGACAGTCAAAACATGTTAAAACGGTCTACTGGTTTTCTAGCAAGCCTTCAATCAAACATGTGAGTTAGTGGAAAAAGACTGTAAGCCTAAAAAAACTCACTGCTGAAGTCTGTCCCAGACTAAAACAAAGGACCAAAACACCCATTTTCCATGCATGCTGCTCTGACTTTAAAATAAATTGGCTTTAGCCTGATGAATACAAACGAGTTACGGCAAAGGACAGCTAAGGCAATGAGAATCGCTGGGCCAGTTTGTATGCTGATGAAGAGAGCCGTGTGAGAGCAAAACAAGATGCTTCATCTGAGCAAAAGCAAGCAATTCCAGATTTCAGAAGCCTGAAAAGAATTAGGATATTATCTCACTCCCTTAATGTGGTAATTGGTTTAACGAAATGGAGGGGACAGCAGATTTGTACTTTCATAGCAAAAATGACAGTCTACATTTTCAGGGTCTTTGCTGGGTGACCATCCTGTTATGCTGGCAAATGCAGCTCATTTAAATCTCAGGCTGGCATTGCCCAGGCAGACTCACCAAGGAATTCGACAAGGACAGCTGGGCAGGGCCTCAAGGGTGGCATAAGCCCTTCAAGTAAAAGCATGTCTCTTTACACACACAGCCTGAGCTGGTGTAGCGAGGATATCAGGGAAACATTAACTGGTATCAAGATTAACACTTTCCCCCTTTTTTGTTTTGTTCTGTAGCTCGAAAGAGCCTCTTCAGTGGTGATGATGTAGAGAACAGAAAGGCTTCAGATGTTAACAAGGTAATTGTTGCTTTTTTTAAACATGACATTTTGTGCAAATGCCTGGCTTTTTTATACTTATATATTTTTATTTAAAAAACAGATTTGCCCATTTTGCATTTGGTTTTACAACAGTGAAAAGCAACATATTTATGTTTAATCAAGCAGGTGTAACACACACATATAAGAGTAGAACAGATTGCATTTAAGCTGCATCACAAAAACAACTGAACAACTGAAAATAAACTAAGAAAATAGTATGCATTTCATTTTCTTTGCTTTTTCCCAACACACAACTCCTACCCTGGCTCATTCAACGCAACAATCCAACAACAGAAACATCAGTATCAGTCCCTGCTCTCTCCGAGATTTCATGGCTGACATCAGAGTCAAGACAGTTCCACGGTTTGACGCCCGCTGAAACCACGACTTCATCCTCACTTCAAATTACAGAGCATTAACTTAACCGGTGTGTGTGGGGAGGATCAATGCCATGGTGGATCAAACGCTTATCAAAGCAATACGAAATAAAGCAGTTTGATGAAGCAAACAGGCTTTGTCCCACAGTGACACCGCATGAGCAGACCACAAAGCACGGAACAGGAGGAGTCCAAAACCGGCAGCGAGAGTCTGCTAAAGCTGCTGTCTTAGCTACTGCTCCTGCATGGGAGCACTGCCAGTTCACAACACCCGGGTGTGCAGTCACAGTCCATGTAAATAAAGTTTCTGTGAACCTGACCTTAGCAAAGAAAGCCATAGGAACAATGAGTTACACTATCTTTGACGTCTTCAAACACCCTCACAATTCAAAAGAATTGCTTTTTTCCCAGACCCCTTACTCCTTAGGCAAGGAAGCTCTCTATGAGGTTTTTGTCATTCTCAAGAACCCTTCAAATCCTCTTCTTAAGGCAATCAGAGACCTAGAATTTGCTGGCAGTTTTACACCTCAAAACCTCCAAATACCACGGCTTTGTTTCCCTAGCGTACAAGTTCAACTTCCGTACTCATTTTATTTCACGCTGAAATTCTATTCAATTCAAACTGTGCATCGCTATGGAATTAAGGGAGCTTATATAAATTTTACAAGTACTATCATGAATGTGAGAAGGGTCTGAAAAAAAGGTTTTCATGGGATCTGGCTCTGGGCACTAAATTTAGATCTAAGGTAAGGAAAAACAAACAAACAAACAGCTGGCCTAATTAAACCGGGCCCGCAGAGCAGCACCTGCTCAGCTCGTGCTCCTGGGCTTGGCGGGCCTGAGGTCAGAACGCCCCAATTCATGCTGCTCCATCTGTTATGGAACAGCAATATCTTCTTGCACAATTAATCCAGAAGCCGTCCCTGCTTGAGGTTTTAAAAACGCGGTCCAACAAACCTTCTACTTAGATGCTGTAAATGAGTGTGAGATGAAATGAATGTGTTTATATCCCTAACAATAATATTGAATAATCAAAAATGTATCGTAGCTAAGCTTTCTGGTCATATGACTAGAGGCGATTTAGCACTTTAGCTTAAAAACAGGCCTTTCGCAACTTCTTTTTCAGGTCCTTCAGGCTTTCAGATCTGTGGCAATCAAGCCCGGCACCCTGTGAGACCACATGCTCAGTGCAGTGCCTGAATTACACAAAAAAGGTGATTCCCAGGGGGCTCCTGGGGAGATATTCGGGTCACTGAATCACTCATATGTCGCTCAAATGTCCTTAGTTACAGCTGTTTCTAAGACACTGTGGTCTGCAAGTTCCTGACAAAAACTTCTAGAGGTGTGGATCTAAATCAGTCGTGACGTAAAATATTGACTCCTCCCCTCCTTACCTGCACTTAAGTGGCAGTCTTTGATCTGGTACTGAAGTTCATTTTCATTAGGAATGTCCTTCCAGGTTGCCAGGAAGACTTGGCGCTCTGTGGGTCAAAAGAGTCACAAGAAGCAAAGAAAGGTCAGACATGAGGAGCCCTGCTTGAAGATTTGATTAAGTTACTTACTGATCTGTGGATCAGGCTCAGCTGTTACTCCAAAGATGCCAGTGAGCCCACTGTTTTTTGGGGGGGTTTCAAAAAGAGGCAGCCAGATATATGGAAGCACTTGGAATATTATGAAGCCCCTAAAGACCTCCTTTAAAATCATTTGAGGTTTTTTAATGAGAAAGTTGTCGTACAACGAAATTGTCCTATGCTCGCTGGACAATGAGCAATCACACCATACTCACTGCTAACACCACCAATCCTGTCAATCAATCGGCTACTGTGACAACATGGTATGGGGGATAATCAGTGCCACCTGTCAGACTGTAACTCCCTCCATTATTTAAAACCCATCTAACAATTCTGCCTCTCTGCTTGTTTACTGAACCAGCACCTGAATCCAGTCTCCAGACTCAAACTGCTTCACTGTTATTGTATTACAAAAGCATTCTCTAAAGACACCAGGCTTTGTGCGCCCCAGGAAGCATTCAGTGAATCCAGCTAGAGGAGGCTCTCCGATGCACAATGCACAGATCGACAATCACAACAAGGTGGAACGCCATGAGCATTTTGACCTGTCGGCCCCCTGACACCTACCCATCTTGCCATCCTCCACAAAGAAGATGTTGAGAGGAATGAGACAGCTGAAGTAGAAGACATCAATGTTGTTTTTCACCGCCACCTGTCAGGAGAAGACAAGACAGTGCTGATTGGCAGTGTGTCGCACGGACTGGGGTAGCTCACCTGTAATCTCAAGGGAACCACACATAAATACAGTATGGAACCTTAAACTCCTGAACCTTCGCTTTTTCCTCTGAAACAAGAGAAAGAAGTTCTCCCCCACGCGCTCTACCGCGAGCTAGATCCACCATTAACAGGCCTCTCGCGATCCAGGAGAGCAAGCACTGGGAGTGGGCATGCCATACAGAGCATGTACTCCACAGTTCCAAACTCACAACCGCCAGGACTGGGCTTTTTAAGCCTCCGCGACTTGTGAGCTGTGACAGGCGTCGGCAGCAGTGCGAAGAAGGGTTAGGGGTATGAGTTCTGCCCGATTCAATCTGATTTCTGCCGGCAAATGTTTTATTTCCCCTGCATCTGGGGTTAAGACCAAAAAACAGTCATCAGACAGGCTGACGCTGAAGAAAACAACTGCACGCACAGTTGTCAGGAGGCAAACGCTGGTGATGGCACACTGCCTGCCTTGCGGATTCGAAAACAGGCTGTATTTCTGAGATTTATTAAGATTTTTTACAAAGTAGAGCAATAAAGCAGAGATGATGTTTTCGGAGCATGTGTTTTAGATGAGAACGTTTAGATACCCCCGTCGGTATTTTCTCTCTGTGAATCAGCATGGGGCAAAGATGTTGGGATTCATTTTCTTGCGAGTTCTGCAATTGATAGCTGCGTCTCCGTTACAAGTCTCCGCCACTCCCAGAAGGGAGCGAAGACAGTACATTTGAACTGTATATTTTTCTCAACAATACTTTCCACCTTATTGAGAGTGTTGTGTTCCAATCATAAATGAACTCTAACTGGTGATCTCTTCAATGTGTACATAAATTTGCATTTTTATTAAAGCTTTTCTCTTTTCAGATAGTGTCAATGAAGCAAGCACATTCAATTTCCCCAGATGGAAGTGCAGCAACACAGTATTTCTTCAGTATGCTGTTATACTGAGAGGCTGAAGTGCAGCAAAATGTGTCAAAATACATTTCATTATTCAAGTCATTATTCAGTGTCCTCCAATAGTACTGGGATTGTGAAATCCAAGTGGCTATTTTTGCGGTTTACTCAAGCAGTTTGGATTTAAGGTTGAATGTTGTACCATTTTGGAATTATAGCATTTTGTGTTCCAACTTCCCAAAATAATTAAACTAAATACGGAAAAAACTGCCCAGAAATCAGCATCCCTAACCATAACGAACAAGAACCCCCAGCATGGGTCAAAGACTCTTCTTGAACATTGGATTTCCTAAAGGAAACCGCTCGGGCAAAGGAATAAAGTGACAAAATATGCTAAAAGCAACAAATAAAAGTAACAAATTCGCTTAAGAAGAAGAGAATAAATAAGCTTTAAAATCTGCCATGATGCAAAACTGCAAAAACAACCACCTAAAAGATGGAAAAATGTGCACTCGAAATTAGAGTATCTCTTCTTGACCTCATCTGTGCCTCCTTATATGAAAAGCCTATCAGCATTTTATCTTTAATCACTGTTTGCAGTTGTCTGCAAACATTGAATTAAGTAGGTCTGCAAAGAGCCAGTACTCATGACCCCAATGCAATCAGAAAAAAAAACTGATAACAGTCAGCTTTTAAGCAGTGTCCACCTCTCTTTAAACAAACTAAGCTGACTGCCAAAACCGTAAACATGATCCTGAAATTTTCCTGAAACTGAAAAGTTGAAAGCACCTTTGTGCAACAATTCACCCTGAAATAAAGATAATACAGTCATCTTTTAAAATACTTTTTCTTTCAGAGGCTGAGATTTTATGGGCAAAAATCATTTCTCTGCCCTCCTCAATAGGTTTAACACCGGCTGTCAAACTTTCCATCATGTGGGGCTTCTCCAGCCTGTTGCCAGGTGTTGTTTGCTCTAGGAGAGGCGGCTGTGTGACAGTGCAGGCCTTCATTCACAATCTGTGGACACGTATCAACAAACCCTGCTGGATTCTTGTTTATCACAGGCTCAGCAGGGCCCTGGAATCAGATCAGTCTCTTGCAGCTGGGGAAGGCAGGGACGCAACTCTGTCAACATGTCCTGTCTTGAAGGGAATTATCCTCACAACACGCTGGAAAAAGCCACGCTGAATATTTAACCTTCACGAACGCTGAAGCTCTGCTCCTTCTGCTGGGGATTAACGGAGGTTTATGCATTCTTGTTTCACAATACTAGGAGAAAAGAGCAACTTCTTTCATCTTGTACAGAAGTCAAGGGCAAACCAAACAAGCCAGCTGGTAACAGAAACTGTCAAGTGAACTGAAAAGAACTCCAAACGCACAAAACGTCTGGCTTGTTTGGTGGCTAGTAGTTAACTTATTCAAGGGTCTCATTTAGCTGTTTCTCGAAAGAAGTCAGGGTATCGGGTGCATCACCAAGCCTGGAGACGGCCATGTTGTGTTCATAAAGGTTTTGGACTGGATTAGCTCTCCCAGAAAGTGAGACGCCTTGTCAAATGAGGATTGAAGTGAGGAAGGTTTCGTTTTGATGTCTGATTTGTGTTTTAATAATCATAATTTTCTGTCATTCTGATATGTCGAAACAATAAAGACCTTAACTGCCATGCTTAACTCAGTCAGTCAGTGATTCTCTTTGTCTTGGTTATGCAAACTAAATCAGAACTCAGGAATAAACGGAGGTTAAATCTCGAAAAGCAAAGAATCAGTCAGGTACTGGAATTCCCCAAGAAGTTTCAAACCCATCATAACGATTCTGAAGAATCTTGACAGCATCAAAACCTCCTTTATTAGTATTGGCAGGGTGATACGAAGCTTCATCTAAGCAGTCAGTGCTGAAGTAGTCAGGCCTGCAGTTAATTTTCCAGCTGGCTGGGGTCTCATTGAAACTGTCAAGAGTTCACAACCATTTGTATCCTGCAGAAAGCACCGCTGATGTACCCTCGGTTGTGGGTCAGAAACAAACCCGAGCCTCCTTTGCGCCAGTTTTTAACAGATGTCTTCTCTCCCTGCATATAAAAACCATTAAAACGTGGTGGTTCCAGAATTTAGGATATGGGGCTCCAGAAATCTGAAAAGTCTCTGCGGGTGCAGTGGCAGGTACCTGGAGGTTGTTCAGGGGGTCCATCTTCATCACAGGACCAATGGTGTTGAGGGGCAGCGAGATGTCGATGCTCTGGCTGGGCATCAGCGGGGTGTGTACGGGCAGGGGTGTGGTGGGGATCACCCCGAAACTGTCCAGCAAACGAGACAACACAGCAGAGGTCAGAGAGGTGGCTGGGCTGCATGCTCACATAAACCACAAGGGCAACACATCACGATCATCTTAACAGAAAACAGGAAGGCAGTAGCACAGCTGTCAGAGTCCTGCACTTCTTCCCCAACCAGATCCAGAGTGCACACACTGTGCCCGTTCCAGGCTGGAGGAGGGCCAAGCACAATTCTCACTGGTGTGTTTCACACGAAGGGCAGGGGGGCAGCTGCCTCCTTACCTGTTTTTATTGAACTGGATGGCAAAGTCCGTCATGTGCTGCAGTGCCTTGTTAGTGAAGGTCATGTCCATGTACATGTGGCCCTGCCTGCGAGAGAAGGTCCCTGCGATCTCCAGACCCTTTGCCTTCACAGCGGGCAGCCACACCTGCCAACACAACGAGCCTCATCAACGCCAGCGGCTCAGCCCTGAGCGCCCAGACTGCTTGCGGTTCCGCACACACGCCAGGGGGCCGCGTTGTTAAAACGCACCCAGACTCATTCCTTCATCTCTTCAGGTCCTGAAATGAGTTAGGACTTAAACCTAAAGTGACTAAGCTAAATTTAAAATTCCATAAATTCCATTCTCCTGAGAATCTGTCAGGGTGGCACTGTGCATTTGAACTCTGAAGGGCATGCTTTCTATCAAAACAGACATGCACAAAAATACCTGGTGAAAAATGGGAAGACAGAGTGATGGTGGGGACAATATTCTTGCTTTAAAAGAACAGAGGTGGGAGATGGTTCTAATTGAAATTGCATTTTTAATAATGCAAAGGAAATGTATCTATAGTGATAATGTATCGGTCTGAGGTAATAGTCTGGATTGAATATGATTCTGGATCCATAGATTAAAAGGTACATATAATTTCCCCTTTCATTTAGGATTTTTTACATTTAAAGTGCAATGTAAAAGCTCTGGTTATACAATACACTGTGGTTTTCAATTTCACTTGAGTAATACTAGAGGGTGAAATGCCTTCAAAATCTATTTCGCAACGTAATGCAACTGTATTTCAATTCATTTATAAATTAAAGAGATTAATTCCTCATCTCTGCATAGTGAGGAATGCATGTCCAAACATGTTTTTTTGTTTTTTTTCCCAAATATGTTTTAACATCATTGTGCCAAGGTTGAAAATATGCAGTCTGTACAACAACAGTTACAATCTTCAAGTCCTGCCAAGCTCATGGTTAAGAAGATCCTTGGAGACACCAAACTGTTTATGTATTTTAAGAAATTTTGAAACTCGTAACAAGACTAACAAATATTTGTTTATGCCTTTTTACAGTTTTCTTACTGACATAAGAAAAGAGTCGACATCTATGATAAGAAACAATCACAGAATGTTTGGACGAGTAAAACAATCAGGGACCCGTAAAAAACTCATCTTTTTCAGAATGTTCAATATAGGAACCCAGATCCTATAAAATGAGTACCCGGGTGGCAAGATGCACAGATCTGCGCCGCAGTCTTGATCAATTCAGACTGCAAGCATGATTACAATTGAAAACAGCAACAGTGGAAAGATGCCAGATTGTACTGCATTTCAAAGAACACTTTGATTCCATGTGAAAGACACTCCCAGCTTTGCTATTTTTCCCATCCTCTCGCATACAAAATGCCTTCTCATAAACTGTCATAATGCTACAAGATGTTAAACGCCCTGGCCTGTCGAATGACTTAGGAACCCTGCATAGTCGCTCAATAACTCTCCACGTGGACCAGACTCGGTATTTTTACTATGGTACTTCTGAACTTTTAAACTGCTCCACGCCAGGGAGTCTCTGCCACAGGAGGGCATCGCTACGGACGGGCCACCGCGCGCCTGCCGCCACTTACCGCTTTCGGAGACACGTAGCCCCCGGTGGTGATGGCCATGCCCGTGGACAGCTCGAAGAGGTCATTCAGGCCGCTGCTGAGCGCCGCCGGAGTGGGCGAGGGCGCGAAGGTGTTGGGCACCGAGGACGGGATGAAGTTCTGCCCCACCTGCGATGGCAGAGACAGAAAGATGAGCTTTGCACAGTGGCCACCTTCAGCGGGGTGGCCTCACTCCTCTTGTCTGTGACACGTCTACGGTTAAAAAGCATTTAAACTGCGTTATATTAAAAGGTCAACGGGACACAGCTTAAAAATGAAAGAAACGGGCTGTGTTTTGCTTAGGCAGGACTGTTAATTGTCAATCTCCTGATCTGCTCCAGATAACTCACATGTGCAGGTCCTGTACATCTGCACAGGGGTATTTTCCTGGAGGCGACACTCGGCAATGAACACTGGCAGAGCCCGAGAGTGCCAGGCATGACAGGCTTCAAAGGGCAAAGCTTGAGCAGCAATTACAGCCGGGCTGAACCAGCAGGAGAACAGGGCCCTGGCCCACCTGCACTCAGAAGCTGGAGGCCTGCTGGCAAGCCTACAAGCCTGTAGCAGCTTTCTGGAATGAGCTGGCATGAAGGCCACTGTACACGAAAACGTGTTCGCATTGAAGTAAAAATATTTGGAACTAAAAAAAAGTGTTTTTTTCTCTTTGGGAGCATTCCATGTGACAAGACAAAAAAAACAAGGGGGCAGAGATGGAAATATTAGTACTGTAGATATTAAACTAATAGAAATAGTGTTATACTTAACTTTAAGCATCAAAGGGGGCTGAACTTGCGCTCGATAAAATAACATCAAGGTAACTGAGACAGGTATAAAAAAAGACCAGGTTCTGGAACTTGGAATCATTCAGAAAATGAGACAGCGAGAAACAAAAAAAACTTGGGAACATTTAAGCTTTAAAACCCAACATAAGCAGATGAAAAAAAAGCACTTACAGCAGGACTTCCCCCAACACCTCCTCCCAGGTCGCCACCGAGCTACAAAAAAAAAGAGAGAAGACAAGACCCGAGTCCAGACCCGCACAGAGACAGCAGCAGAACAGAGGCAGACAGAGGGGCAAGCGCTTGGCAACCTCAAACCTGCCCATCCCCGCCCAGCTCGCCACACTCATTCGCTAGCACGACATTAGGCAGAATTCAAAATAGTTAAAGGAAAAGTCTAGTTTAATTAGACGAGCAGAAACAGCAGACTACTGAGGGGGAATGTCAGTGCACGTTTCCAGAGCTTGATTAAAAAAAACTGCAAACCACACCATCAGTGGGATTTGATGTCTGTCACCTGCGCCATCGGGACAGAAACCAGTCCACGCAGGCTCGGCCCAGGTGATGCCACTCAGTTTCGCGTAGTTTTAACACGTGGCTACAATTATGAAGCAAGCAACGCAGTGATGAGGAGAGGCATGAACAATTCCTTTGGCTCTTTTGAGAGTACGGAACCTGATTCTCTCAAACAGGTTTTTGCAGGAATCAATTCAGTAGCAGAAGGTCACCTTATCTTTAGTGTAAAAGAAAATTAAACCAATGAAAATTTCACTACCATTAAGCCAGCAGGAGCCACATTGCCTTTATGTAAAACAGTTAAATGGGTTAAATAAAGCCCTCAGGGCACGTTGGAGGGGGGAGGGGACATTTTAGACTTGGTATTTTTAGAAAGTTAATTCTTTTTTTCAAGCTTCAGATGTAAAAAGGCCATAGGCATAATTTGAATTTTAGATTAGTACATTTTGCAGACTATTTACATTTGCTCTATTCTGAGAGTTACACACAATCCTGTCAGCTGCACTACCAAAGAGTGGCAAGGAAGCAATTTAATGCTGCACACCACTAACAAGACTGCCAGGATGTGTGCCAGGGAAACCGTTTAATATGTCACACTGCAAAGACATTCCCTCTCGTCTGCTCTGAGAAGCCTTGTCACCAGACCTTCAAAAGACATTGCAACAGGGCCTGGGTACATAAGTTTTCCCCAAACAAAAGACCCATCTTTATATTAACTCCCATTCTAACGAGCCTGTAGGAGACATCCACCACACAGACTATGATCGCAGACACCACAATGGCAGGAGAGGACAGCAGTATGAAGACCAAGGGGCACTGGGAGAAACTCAGATAGGGACCGCTACCAGCATGACTTACAAAGAGCTTTTTGACACCAGCATAAAATGTGTTCCATTTTCACAGACTGAATACACTTGACTACATGAAATAGGTTTAATGGCAAAGAATTGCTTCTGCCATTCATGATTACATTCTTCTAGCAGAAAATGTGAGCCTATTCTGCCACAGAACAAAGACTTTGAAATGAGGATTTCTTGTAATTTCACAAACTTTTGTGCATTAGTACACAATCTGGAAAGAAGAGTCTGCCTTGACATCTGTGCTGTCACAGTACAGGCTCCTCTGAAAGCACTCTTCCTGAAATATAAAGCTAATTTTCTAGCAATGGGGGGGGGGGAAGAAAAACCACAAAAACATCTCCTATCTGCAAGAGTGGAACAATAAACTTTCAACAAAACGGCGAACGGGCTCCGAGACCGTTATCATCTGGTGTCCTGCCATGGCCGATCAAGCTGGCTGGCAGACCAGCCTGCTCCCTTCACACACGGCAGCAGGAGGGGTTCAGACTGGATCGGTCATGCTCAAGGGGGCACTTCCAGCCATCCTGTTGGGTGGGCTTTAAATTGAGTCTAGTGCCTGCCTGCGTTATCGGGAGCATTTCCCAGGTAAATACAGATGAACAGCAAACACAGGTCTGACTGCAAATAAGAGCAGACAGGTGGACTTGCAGCCAGCAGCCGTGACAGAGGAGTTTTACAGTTACTGCACAGAACTGCATCGCATTAAAACGTTAGCTCACTGCACAAGTGCAAGCCCTGTACCTGATACCGACTTCCACCGGTTAGAAGGATGAAACCTCTGGAAAGGATAAAGGCTGCCATCCAGCTGTGGGTTTTTTCAAACTCTGATGGACAACACGACAGTCTGGATTTAATTAAGGAACACGCGAGGCTGGGTGAAAACCATCTATCCTATGAATCGGTCTTATCTGGTTGGAATCTGCAAAGCGACTTGCCAGCACTGATCCCCTCAATTACTCGATTTTTCACAGCACTTTATCCAACTCCGAAAGGCTGTAACCGCTTGACTCCATATAAAAAAAAACTACCCCTGAACTAAACCAGCTCGAGTCTTTCATGGATGCAGACAGTGCAGGGGAGTTTAATGCTTTCTCCACTGCTCTACACTGAGTTAACGAATACAGAAGAGTACTGCACGCCTCTCACTGGGCATTCTGCAAGACACATTTGTGTGCACACAACACAATGCAAACTGCTTTTGCCATTCATCGGTTAATTTTTTCTTGCAGAAAATAGGAGAGCAGATTTTGCCTGAATGCAAACTACAAAATGCAGAACTTCTTTGATTACCTCTATAATTATTTTCAGAGCAGCTTTCTGAAAAGGTCTGCTTTGGTTCTAAATCTAATTACTCTGCCACTTCTGAATGGCCTCTTTATGCGATAGATTTCTTTTGGCTTAATTGAGTGAATAAGTGACTTATTTCCCCACTCCATTGCACATGCACCTTTTTGCAAGATAGTGCCATTAATTCAGATAAAACCAAAACACAGGTGATCTATCATTCCACTGTCTCAACGCTGTTTAATACAGTGGTTTTATGACAAATGTGTAGAATGACTAAGTGCACATATAAAATGCAAACATTGTCACCCACCAGTCAGTGGTACTGTACATCTCAAGCTTCAGATCACATTCCAGATTTCCACTGGGAATATCTGACAAAGGCATGTCAAAACCTGACACACTCCATCCCACGTGGAATTCGCAATTGCCAGCCAACAGAATTGGAATTTCCAATCTGGGTGCAAGCTGATGATTGAATCGAATCCCGATCTTGAATAAAAGCTCTATTCTTTCATGTACTAAATTTAATTTGCGACTCAACCTCGTAGCCTAGTTACTGATTGTTCTTTAATGGGGTTGTAAAAGGATGGCAAAACCTAAACTGCTTGAAATTTTTTTTTTAAATCGTTGCTATATCGGATATACACATCCTCATCAGATCTGTCGACAAAGACAGGAATATGTCTGACTGGACTTGGACTTGAGAAAACTACAGATTTATTTTTTTCACATCTCCAGGATTCTTTCTGGACACCCTTTCCAGGAAAACTAAGATCTGGAACCTCTGTGATCAACAACTGAAGTAGCAGCGAGATGTCAGAAAGATAATGCTGCCTTTTTGTCTTCACGTTTCATAAGCTGGCCCTCTGCAGTTTTTCCCCCGTTTCTTTCCTCCATGACTGACCTGTGGAATCGCAGCTCAGTAATGTGTTTTACCAACAGCATCCCAACCACAGATCTCCCTGATCAAGAGAGATTGGATTTCAGAACGAAAACAGAAGCTGACCTTCTCTAATAAATTAGACTTATTTCTCAGCATTATGGGCATCTCTGGAAAAGAATTACACTGTAAGGGTACAGACATCAAGAGGCCCATTCAAGGACTTTTTATAAAGAACAGGAACCCAGTGGTGTCAACGTCTAGCATTTTCTTATCACGTACCTTGTGTTTATTTCTAATACTGTTTCAAATGGACACACAAGTGAATATGAATTATTCTCCAACACCATGCTGCTGAGATTCTGGAAACTTAGCATGTTTCACATAACACATAAACCCTGTCATAAACTGTCAAACTAAAAGATTAAAATGCACCTTACAGAAGAGGGAAACACGTCAAAAATGTCTTCTCTGAGCAGGCTTATATAGAACTTAATAGGCGTGGGCACAGTACTCTTGTGTACTTCACTCTGTAAAGTGGGCATTGCACCTAGAAAGGTGAGGGCATCACATTGTGGACTTATGCCAATTCATCAAGATTTCCATAGTATTACTACTGTAAGACTGAACTTGCTAAGTTTATGCTTACACCTTAATGCATCCCTAAGCATGAAACCTCACTATGTTGTTCAGGATTCATGAACTTCAAGTAATGCAGAATGCCATGACCTTTCCTGACCTGTTATTAAATTCTCCACAACCATTTTCCTCAGCAAGGAACATACACCAACAAGTGAGCTCATTACACCAAGTGTGCTTTTGCTGTGCTACTGAAGCAAGGGCACTGCACATCATCTAACCGCCTGGGGAAGAAGAAGAGGTGAATTTCACTGTGGAAAGACAGATCAGAACAAGACTGATTTCTGGATGAAGAGCACTGGGATTTTGTCCTGTCACAACAGAGCCATAGGGCATAGAGAGGGTTTCCATCATGGGAAACAGATAATAAAGCTGATGGAATGACAGTGAAAGCCTCCCTTCTCTGATTTAAATTTGCCAATGAGGATAGAAGTACAGTTTCCAGCATGTTGATGATTTTTCTTTTTAGAAAAATGGTTGATGCGTTTGTTCCAAAAAAAAAGAGCAGTTCCAAATGTGTTTCATGTGATGACAACACTGTCAATCTGGTCACAAAGGGAAATCTGTTTGATTGGCACTTGTGCCATGGCAAAAACAAATCCAAACACTCAGTACCGTGCACAATCCTACAAAACAGGGGCAGAGCGTCAGGTGACTGTGGTACAGTACTGCATTTCTGCCCTGCATGTTTTGAACATATATTAATTTTATATTAACATATACCTATATTAAAAGGCAATTTGTGTGGGATGAACTGTAATACTGTGAGAACTCCCCTATCTGCAGTTACAAAGCAAACATGTCCATCTTATTTCCCCTGATTTTCTGTGACCACAGCTGAAAGTCCTGATCTTTAAACTCTGGGAAAACAACACATTTTATTTTCCTTGGCATTCTATTCTGAATTGCCTTGTATTGAAATCCGCTAACGGCAGGTCAGGAGAGGCTGCTCCAGTGCGGGATTTGCCAACAGAGATGAATTATATTGAAAGACACCTGCAGTGCTGCCAGCTGCAGATGCCCCATCGGCCAGAGGGAGATTAACATCAAGACTGCGCAAACAGGAAGGGCGAACTTTCAATCTTGATAGAAAAACAAAAGCGGTCCATTGCAGCACCAACCAGATGAACTGGTCTGCTCCAAGGAATCACTGCTGAGGTCTGCAGCCTGAGTACATCTCACTGGCAGGAGTGTGTGCAGGACAGAGAGCCCTGCACAGCAAGCACGGCAGGAGAGGAGAGGGGCAGGATCAGGAGGGAAGCACACGATGGGAAGATGGGAAACACAGGCAAACACAGCGGACGGGACGGAGTTACCCATTGTGTGTCCTCTCCCATCTCAGGAGGAGAAGCAGATTGCAGAGGAGAAAGAGGGAAATGGTTATATAAGCATCCGCCCTTCCGGTGCACCTCAAGAGGAGACAGGCAAACAAAGCTCCCCAGCCCTTTAGAACCCTGCGAATCAAGCTCACTGTTCATCTGAAGGGGCTGGGGGAAGAAACGACTAACAGCAGGTGGCAGAAATACAAAAACGGTAAAACAGTATCGCACACAGCACAGACTTTCTATCACTGAAGCAACCGTGGAACACTTACAATATCCCTGTTTCAATCGGATAACTCCTGTGGAAACTTTTGCAGGCTCCAATCAGCAACAATCTTAGACTTACTCATGAAAACTGACACTGGGTCAGTTAAGGACTGTGAAACCACCTTTGTATTTCATACACAGGAAAGAAAGAGAAAATCACTTCAAACTCATTATATTACAATAGTTAACAAATCAGGTGCAAAACTACAATGCCTTATCATTTAGGAACATTCCCTGTATTTATCTTTAGGGAATTTAGGGGATGGAATGACAGTGCCCTGAGTAATCCCAACAGGGAACCTGGAGCGCTGTCTGCGTGGAGTTTGTATGCTCTCCGTGTGTTCACGTGGGCTTCCTCCAGGTGCTCCTATTTCCTCCCAGAGCCCAGAGACATACTGGCAGGTTAACTGGCTTTTGGGACAATTGGCCCTGTTGTGTGTGTGTGTGTGTGGCCTGCGATGGACTGGCTTCCCTTCCAGGGTGGACCCTGCCTTGAGGTCTTGCTTGCCAGGATAGGCCCTGGCTTATCCGAGACCCGGAGCTGGATAAAGGGGTTAGAAAATGGATGGATGGATACCTTTGTGTGCATAGAGACTTCAGCCTATATCCACTCTCGATCCTTTTTGAGAAAATACTATTAATTGGTGTAGAAAGTATATCTGCACTTGAATCCAGGAATGACAATATATTTTAATATATAAAAACCTAGCAAAGGTTATCCAACGTAAAAGCTAAAATGTTTGCAGTGCTGAGACGCCTTTAACACCCTTTACGATAGAAGCCAAACAAAACAGATTTATTGTTGATCTTCCCTTCTGTGCCACACTGACACTCCTGTTTGTGCCTCTCTTACTGCAGTGTTTAATCTCCCTTAAATCAACTGTAAAACCCAGAACACAGCACTACTACTGGCACGTCAGTCCTTCCTTGCAGTATGATATCGACTCTGCTCTGCTGGTGGGCACTGCTGGAAAACAGCCTAAACATACTGCACTGTGTGTTTACGGTGTGCGTATAGCCAAGAATGTAGAATTACAAAATACCTGTTAACGAATTCACACGTTAACAGGTATTTTGCATAACATGGCTAACAAAAACACAAACACTGGGAAAATCTTTCCTACAACATACATGAACCATGGTAATTCCTACTCCACTGTGAAAGTCTACATAAATATGCCAGATAACATGACAGAACATGCAGAGTTTTCAATAATAAAAAGAAATAAAGCAAACAAAGCACATATTTTCAGCTATTGAGAGCACTAATTTTCAGAAAGATGTGTTGGAAAACGCGCATGTGAATTTTGAATTAAGCCCTGCAGAAGCCCCCAACAATGTCCCAGAAGACTATTTCTCAGGCTGGGCTTGGTCTGACACCATGAGTACACAAAAGCAAAATAAAGCAGAATAAAGAAATAGTGGATGAGAAGGACATCTTGTTTCTTATTTTAACCAAGGCAAAACTGCTAAAAAACGGAGCAGGATTGACTTTTCAAAAGCTGTGACACAAGGCAGTGCTACTCTGACTGCGGTCCTTCAGAATCATCCTACTGCAGGACAATCACCGCCTGCTCAAACCGCTGACTGGAAACTGAATTAGGAGGCGATGAACAGGAGCTCTTGCCTTGACGGAGACCTGAGTGCACACATGCAGGGCGCATCCTTGAGGAAAGCCTCTCCAAACAGGAGAGATGCAAATCATTCTGGTAATTGCGCTGTGTAGTCTGCAGCATGGACTAGCCCAGGTGAAAAGGCTGTATTCCAGACAATATGGGACACTGTGCAACATGTGTGTTTAATGTCAAATGAGCTGCGTTATTATATTAAGGCCTACTGAAGGTAAGGACTTTGAAGCAGGGGCAGCCAATTATCTGATCTTCCAAGGCTTTCCATTATAGGGCTTGGACACTAGCTCGATAATTGACTCTTAGGTGGCATAATTAAAGTGCTGGGGCTGACTTAATAATTCTCTGCATTAAAAATGGATAACTCCTCCTCCCAGCTAAGCTGCTGACTTCTACTATTCAGTGCGACAGTCCAGAAGCACCAGGGGGGTGGGGGAGACTACCCAGTGGCCAGGGCTTGTACCAGAGAAAAGGCCCAGACTGAATCAGACAAGACAGGCCCACGCCAGCCACCCCTGCTGCGAGGATCAAGGTACGCCCTGAGCCCCAGGACTCACCAGGCTGTCCAGCCCCCCGCCCAGGAGGTCCACAGCCCCCATCTGCATGGAGGAGACCTGCGGCACGTTGACGGGGGGGCCCAGGTCCAGGTTGAGGAGGTCTCCCAGGAGGTCGCCCTGTGAGGGAATGACCTGTGGTTGATCCAGTGGGGGGGCAGGGCTGGTGCCCACGGGACTCTCCCCTGTGTCGATGCTGAGAGACAGAAAGGGAAGTCACTTGATCAGATGCAAACCCCTCCGGACAGACCTGATAAGCAGCCATATCAAATCTTATTTCCTATCCTGCGACACACAAAGATAGGTCTGTCAAACTGCAAAGGCCAACTACGGCCCCACACACAGCAGGACTCCCCTACCAACATGTTAAGAGCTTGAGATAATGGAGACAAATGGTCCAATTAAATGCATAATAAGCTAAGGTAATAAACAGCATAGTTAAACCCATATATGTCAAAGATGAAGACACAGGCTTAATTCTAAACTATGTGGCAAAAAATTTTCCTAACGAAACAGCCACCGCAGTGCCATCGTGCTTCCTACCTGCCGTGCTGGATGGGCAGGTGCTTGCGATGGATACCGTGGCTTCCCTCCACAAAGGCATTGGGGGGCTTGTGGTAAACCGAGGCCAGGGAGCCGATGTGGCAGATGAGCTCGTCCAGCAGCGTGGGCTCGATCAGGTCCGTCTCCTCCGAGATCAGGGGCTTCTCGGACAGCACGACCTCCTTGGCCGTGACCGGATCAGTGGACAGCAGGCGCCAGTAGATGTAGCCTCTGTCCCGCAGGTCGGGGTTGTCTGAGTCCTGAAACAATTCCGGGGGAAAAAAGCAGGAGATATTAGACTAAATAACTCTCAGGTTGTGTCTTTCTGAGCTCAACCTGCCCTGCGCACTCACTGGATGGAGTGCAGGCAATGGCAGTATGGACTCCGTGAACTGGCAGCCTGTGATGGGGGGCTATCTGGAGGTCTGGCCCTCCCAGAGCCCCATGTGGCCTGGGCCGTCTCTCACCTGCGTGGCCAGGCTGAGCACCTGCTGGACGAGCTCCTGGGTCTCAGATGGCTTCTTCAGGAACAGCTTGACGATGGCCGTCAGCAGGGTGAGCTGGACCTAGGAGAGCAGATGCAGAGACACGGGGAGAGTGCTGTCAAAGGCTGGAGCGCCCAGAGTGGAGATCAGGTCAGTACCTCTTGGCGATTGAGACCGTTCTGTCCTGAAGAAGAAGCACTAAAATTGGGTGTTTCAATCAAAATAGACACCCTCTCTGCTCAAAACTCTGCACAATCTGACAGGAACGTTGTATCGCCACCATAAGACAAGCAGGAAAAGGGGGCAGGAGAGTTAGGAGGAAATAGCAACAGGCAACGGTCTGCTATGGATGGTCTTAAAAGATATCAGACATGTGCAGGTGACTCACACCATACTTTACGCTTCTGTCACTTAGGATCAGCCAGCAGAGCGCCGGTGGGGGACCCCTACATCAGTACATGGGCACATCAGCAGATGGCACTGCCCTGTGGCACACGCAATTGATTTAATAAAGCCTTGCAGTCACTTCCATGAACCACTACATTCCACCCACTGGTCTTCACATGCCCATGGTCTCCTCCAGCGTACCCTGTTAATTTCACACATTCACAGGATAATCTCGGAAGCGATTGCAACATTATTCAATTCCATCTCCCCGCACCCCCACACGATCACTCTTAATGCCCCACGCCGTTCTCAGTCCGAGCGCAGGTGTGCGGGGCGCGGCGAGGTCACCTGCGTGCTCTCATCGTGGAAGCCCTCCAGGAAGCTCTCCAGCAGCTCGTCGGCGTTGTCGATGCGCTCGGCGTACTCCCCCACGATCCAGATCATGGCGGCCCGCGCGTCCGGCTCGTCGAGGGAGTCCAGGTTCTCGCACAGCGTGGCGATGATGCTCTCGTACCTGCAAAACGCCCACATGGCCGTCACGACTCGTGCGACCGCTGCCCCTTCTGGTCTAAACTTCCGTACTTTCAAAAATGCTGGGCGGGTCTGAAGGGTGTGCTGGAAACACGGTCAAAGCACATTGTCAGTAGAAAAATAGTCCCATGTCATAAAATAAAACAGGAGAAGAGTAGGGAAATGTTCCTTCTGAGTAATGCAAGCAACTCCCTTCTTGTCTTTCACCTCCCAGGGGGATACAGGCCCTTACTTGTTGGGGTACTTTCGGAAGATATCTCTGATGACCACGATGGCCTCCTGCACCACGTAGTTGACCTTGGTCTGGATGAGGTCCAGCAGGGTGCTCACACAGCGCTCGGCCGATTGCTGCAGACACACAAGAGAGGATAGGGAGACCCCGTTCCCACCGGAAGACACAAAATTCATCTGACAGGGGTTTGTGCATCCAACCTGAAGCTCTCTCAGCTGTTCCTGTTTGTATCCCGTAATACTTCTAAATGTTTAATTTCAGCTTGATCATCCTGCTTGTATACTCTGTTCATCCACTCATACTAAAGACCTCAGCCTGCTCACGTCATGTTCCAGTTTTCGTTGTGGCATAATTCATGTGGAGCGGCACAGGGATTATCATTGCTACCTCTCAGTGCTGGGGCCCTGTGTTTAATTCTGGACCTGGTCTCCATGTTCATGTGGGTTTCCTCTGGGTGCTTCCTCCCACAGTCCAAAGACACACTGGTTAATTGTTAATTAATTGGCTCTGGGGAAAATCAGCCCTGGTGTGTGTTTGTGTGTGTCTGCCCTGTGAGGGAACAGCATCCCCTCCAGGCTGTGTGGACTCGGGCTGCCCCCTGTGACTCTGTACTGGGTGAAGCGGAGAGAAAATGGATGGATAATTCACAGGGGCCGTTTCGGACAGCCTTGTCTGCAGGAAGGAACTTACCTCCACTTTGATGGCGCAACGCCCGATGGCCCTCACAGCCTTCCGCACGAAGTCTACGTCCACCTCGGTGGCATACTCCTTCAGCTCAGCCAAGACCTGGAGCAACGAGCAAGAGAGAGATCTCACTGCAGCTCAGGCTGGAGACCCAAAAAACAATTGAGATTGTCTTGCAATACAGCACCTCAATTTGTGCAAACACACCCCCACTCCCTCCTACCTGCTGTTGCAAATACTCAATTCAAATAAAGTAAGAAATCCTCTGTGTGAAACTTATGGTAGAATCCCAGCAAGCTGAAAGCCAGGAAAAGCAGGCTGTGCAAATCCACCAACACAGCGATGTGCAAATTTTTTTTTTTAAGTATGCTGCACACTGGCAGTGGCTTATTTAGGGATTGTAATATTTGCCTTCTGTGTTTGCATTTGACTTCAGCACAAACATTGCTGCGATTTGAAGATGAAAACTGGCCTGCAGTGAGGGCATTTATCAGTGAATCCATGCGTTATCATGAGTGACACAGCTGGCTTGTCTGAACATGCCTGGCAGTCTAACAACAATGACACCCTTCCTTCTGCCACGGACGTGTGTTTATATTAATATCTCAGCTGAATTCCTCACTGTGTTTTAAAGCGCCTTAATCTTGGTAACAGGAATACCACTGCATCGACGCAAACCATGACCCAACATGCTAGCTTCAAAGACCACAGTAACATTTGTTTTTAATTCCACACAGCAAATGACATACACCTTTCTTTCTGTGAGCAAAGCACAGATCAGGATCTGACCTCACATTTCTTTATCTGTCATTAAACCTGGAAACTTGAAAGGCAAAACAAAAACCCTCAGTGCATGCTAGCCAATCAATGCTAGCTTTCAAAAGTAAGTCACATAATTAACTCAAACATTTATATTATAGATACTTTGGAGAAGTCTAGGCTGAACTCGCTACACTAATCTTCTTTTTAGGTATTAATATTACACTGAGCCAAGTCTTTAAAAAGTAGCTTCTTATCTTCCACATTACTAGGTTATTTTCTCTGTCTGTAACTTATATAAATATCTAATCCACACTGAACATCTGTATGCAACTCCTACCCAAGCACGTTGTATGAGCTGATTAGCTCATACAGAAATACAGATGAATGGCACTCTTCAATCCATAAGCTGTAAACAAGCACCCAACACCTGTTCCGTAACCATCTCTTCTTTCACGGACCTCTAACCAGCCATTGTGAAGTTCACTGCAGCCAAACTAAACCTGCAGCCGAGCTGTAATGGGCACAGTCTAGACACGGCCGGACAGCGGACCGTCTGCAGGCTGGTCCACTCTTAGGGGCAGCTGCACTGGCCTGTCACACGCTGAGCAGTGACCCACCTGGGCGATATTGGCCTGGGAGGCCAGGCGAATCATGATGTCCAGTTTCTCCAGCTTGACGTAGATGGGATCGTTGTACTTAACAAAGAAGACCTTGATCTCCTGCTTGAGGATCTCTGGTCTGCCGGGAGGAAACAAGAAAGACAGCAGTGTTAGCCCTGTGGGGACGCCCTTTGTGGGTTCAGTCAATCCATGTTATTCTTATAAAGCGCCATTCAGTACAGAGCATTCTTGTTGTCATTTATAACAAGTTTCTTCCACACACAAGCTCCTGGAGTGCAGGATTGTCTCAGAGGTGACCAGAGCTTTCCCTGGATGCCAAACTTGCTTTAGACACCAAGGTTATTAAAAAAGGAACACTACTATAGTCAAGGAAGTCATACATTAGATGGAGAGAGAGACACTGTCTGTAAGCAGTGGCAAGTGTAAGAAAGAAAATTAAGACTCGGCAGAAGAGCGAGGATTTATATTGTCACAGTGCATATTGACAATAAGTGAAAGATATAGAAGCCAGAAAAAATCAAGGTGGTAGAATCCTGAAGCACTTCAAAACAGCTGGGTATGGAAGAAAGCTAACACTGCCATCTAGTGTCTATGGAGGGGGGTGTGTACACAGCTGCACTGAGGTGATAGAAATACAAGGAATAGGTGCTTACACACTAAAATGGAAAGATGTTCTACAATGTTTCACAAGCTCTTTTTGAGGCTCAGTTAAACAGGGAGGCATTTTTCACCTCCATGACAAAACTATAAATCTTTTCAAGCTTTAGTAATGAATATAACATCGGCTGCCAGTTGTGAAAATATAACCATTACCCATTTTTCAGTTAACACTCCATTCACCAGTAGGCCTGAACTAAGTATTCAAAATCCTCAGACACATTGACTCATTCTCTCAGAGTTTGCTGGGCCTCAATTTGGGCTCAGGCTAGAGAAAAGTTCCCCGAGCAGGCAGGGCTCTTGCAGAAGGAGATCCAGGGGTTTCTGCTGGGGATTTTAAACCTGAGACAATGGCGTGAGGCAGGCAGCGGGGGGCGGCTGACCTCTTCTGCACGATGAGATTGATGTTCCTCAGGGCCACGTACTGCACCTCAGGCTCCCCGGACAGCAGAGTGACCAGAGGAGGGGACAGCTTCTTCAGCAGCGTGTTGTAGTACTCTGAGTCCTTGGGCAGCAGCTCCAGGAACTTCATCAGCACCTTGACGGCGGACAGCACCACCGCCGAGTTGGCGTGAGAGAGCCGCGGGGTCACTCGCTCGCAGATGCTGGGGGGGACAGGGAGAACGAACAGAAGACATAAAGCACACGAGCTCTCCTGGGAGGTGAGAGCCTCAGAGAGCAAAGAGTACAGTAAACAGCGAGTGATTTAACTACTAATGGAGAATGAGAGACTCTGCAGGCTTTTTTACGGATTGCCACAACAATAGAAGACCACCTACACAAGCACACAGGCAAAGCTGAACAAAAGGATATTGGAGACCAAAAGATGGGATGAGAACGAACACAAACGGAGAAGGAAGCCTCAGGAGTCGAGGGTGTAGAGAGTGGAGAGGAGGAAGGAGATGCGCCGTCTCTGCACTGACCTCTGGGCCTCGCGCTCGTCCTTGGGGTTGTAGTTGGAGAGGCAGTCCAGGATGAAGATCTGGCCCCACTCCGTGCACTCGTTGAGGGCCGTCAGCAGCTTGTTGATGTTCTGGGGGTTGAGGTCCAGCAGGTTGCTGTTGGGGTGCGACTCGCTGATCTCCGACAGAGCGGCCACGGCGTTGGCCACCACCTGAAACAGACAGCGGGCATGAGAGCTGCTCACCGTCAGGCACGCAGAGCCATGGACGCTGGGTCTTTCTAGTCATTGCTTTGCAAAATAACTCCAATTTAAGTAGAAATATTGCTTTATTTTATTAATAAGGTGTGGTGATCAACTTCAATCTTCAAAATTTGGTTCCATTAATGAGTCCAACTGAGAACAGAAGGCACTTTGTTATACAAAGGGTTGTGAGAGTAGGGAACAAGCTACCCAGTCATACTGTTGAAACCAATATCCTGGCTCTGTTCAAAAAACGGCATGTCAATTAGTCTCAGGCCGAGCCGTTGCTTTGAGAGAAAGATGGGCTGTTAAAAGACCCTCCCCTGATGACATCATCACCCATTCCTGCCAAGAGGGGAAGGGGGGTACTGTACCATGGGGTTGGAGTCGGCGATGAGATCTCGCAGCGAGTCCAGGAAGCCCTGGTCCTCCACCATCTGGGCGTTGATGTCGTGCAGCTTGGCCACACACACGGCGGCCGTCTTCCGCACGTACGGGTCCTCGTCCTTCAGGCACTTGCGCAGGGGCTCGCACAGGTACTCCGTGATCTTGTCCACACGGATGCAGCCCATGGTCCGCACCGCCAGCGCCCGGATCAGGGGGTTTGGGTCCTCGCAGTCCTGGGGAGAAGTGGATTGAAGACCCTTAAACAGCACCCCGCATGACGTTCTCCCCGATTTGGAATCACCAGTTGCACCGAGGCGCGGGTTTGTGGCGGAATCGCCTGCGCCTGCTCGGGAGAGAGCAGGACATGCGGACGTGCTCCTCTGACACGCCCACCTGGAGAACAGCTAGTCCTCAGAAGAGGAGCGAACAGGAGAGCTGGTGCCAGGCACAGGAAGGGCACATCTCTGACTGACATCGCAGAAGTCACCGTGTGCCTACAAGCAGAGCACTCTCTGGCCAGAGAGCCACACCCTACCCTGGAAGATGCATACCGCCACTTGAGCGACCCACTGTCTCCAGGGACAGCCAGGCTTTCTTTACGCATCAAGACCTCTGCTTGTGCTACCAGACGTGAGGAATAACCAGAAGCCATCTCAAACCAGCAGCTTATTCTACATGTCCGGGTTTAAGCGGCCTTTCGGTTTTGTTTTCCACCAGGAGCTGCAGACGCCAGCACAAAGAAGCAGGAAGGAGAAGCAGCCCCACCCACACCATGACATCGGCAGCAGCCGGCCCACCTTCACGAAGCTGTTGACCGCCATGATGGCCATGTCCGGCTGGCTCTTGGCGTAGTTCATGAGGTACAGGTACACAAGCTTCTTCAGTTCCAGGTTGTCCGTCTGCATGCAGTTCACGACATCCGGGAAGAGGGAGCTGGGGGGAACACGGGGACACTGACTGGACCATGCTACATCAGATACGCAGTGCCAACACAGAGCAGCAGTAGTCATTTCCTCACACCTATACAACATTTTCCATCCCAAAAGAATTCAGTTTACGTATAGGAGGGACTCACTTCTTCCACCATTCACTGTACCTGACATTACGATGCAAGCCATCAGCCCCAGAACAGGGTGAAATCGCCCAAGGCAGAATTAGCCAGGATGGGGTGAGGGGGTCTTACCCATATTTTGTAACACCAACACCCTGAAAGTCATTTAAAATCCCATCTCAGTCTCAATGACTCAGGACCCCTCATCTGGGGTATTGCACCTCCTACAACACAGTGTTCCCAGTCACCACACTGCAGACGTGGTGTAGTAATTCTTGTCCAGAGGGAAGATCGCCACCTACTGGTCCACCAACACTACTGACAGCAGCAACCTGGCTTTCCTCCGAGGTCTCCCAGTCCAGTCCTGACCAGGCCCAGCCCGGCTGAGACCTGACGACATCAGGCCACCAGGTGGTAACGCCGCTGACTAACTACTGTACTCAAATGAAGCGTAAATGCATTTTATGATTCAACACTATCATGACTTGGAACACAGTGAAAATTACATGCAAGTATGATTAATGACTGACAAAACTACAACTCTTTTCAAAAGATGATCAGACGACACAAAACACACACGTTCATAAAATCATATGATAGTGTGTTTTACCACAGATTAGAGGTGGTGGTGACCTTTATTCTCTCGAGATAAATAAAACATTTTCCACCAGCAGATAGAACACAACATCACTGTACCCTGACCAAGCAGAGACCAGCCTACCTGCTGACTTTCCAGACTCTTCATTTAGGATGAAATAAGTGAAAAAATATTCCATTATTTGAATTACTTTGCATGAAAGCCAATGACACAAAATAAAACTGAAAAAAACACTGGGAAGTCCACATGATAAAAAGTATTTTTGAAGCTAAGCGCTCCTGCAACGCAGGTGATGTTGCACCCAACGACTGACGAGGTAATCTTTCAAACCAAATGACAAACACAAAACTAATGGGACACCATGCAAATCAAACTGGAAGTCAACAAGGTCATTCATGGATGTAGTCTGAACGTAGGTAACAAATATCCACAGGGTGGCAGTGAATTGGAAAAAGCAACCTTCACAAAGCAGATTTGATGATTCTTCATCTCCTTCATGTACAATAAGCTTATTTTAACCACAGCCTACCAGGTACAGTGAAATGGTAGAATTGTGTCCGCACCCCAGGATGGTCTGGCGT